ACTTTTCCAATAGCTGATCTGTTAATCACTTTGCTCAAAAACCAGTCTATTTTCGTAAGCCAGTACAAACTAGTGAAGGGGTTGAAGTTGACTTAGGTTAGCTTAGACTTTAGAAAGTAGTTTGTATGATGCAACTTGAAAGGGATGTTAACTTTTGGGGCTAAGGCAATTGAGTTGAATAAAGTCTAAATTGGTGTAGAAAAGTGGCCATTGTAGTTTTTTAGAAAAATGACCCTCATGCCTTTCTTCTATAGCATTTTGTTTGGTGGCAGGTTGCACCTTGCATTTCGTTAAACTCTATGAGAGTAGTGAGCTCTCCCAAGTCTTTAATAGCAAGCTTAAACAAAATGGTTTAACACTTCATTGTTATCCATCCCACGACTCACCATTTGCAAGACCATCATTTCCAACATACATTAGGATAGGGACTCTTGATTGCATGATGTGAGTATGAGCAATGAGTTAACACCTCGTTGCAAATCATCTCTTCATGAAGAGAAGATGATTTACGTGTTTGATCCTTTGTCTCTGACAACTTTCTTTTCGGTCTTAACTTTGACTAAACCTCAAGCTTGCATTCGCACGGCCTTTAGTCCAATCCAAGAAAAGTTTAATAGAAAGCATGGCAATGATTACTTGAATCACTAGACTAATCCCTACAGTCTTAGTCGATTCACTTGTAATCATGCCTAGGAAGGATCCACTAGTACCATACTAAATAGCTACAAACTAGCCTATTTGCCACTCATAGCAAACCTAGGGAAGGTTTACTTTCACCCACGGTATATGGAACAACTCATGAAACCACTAGAATAACTTAATCCATCCTATAAGTCCAACAGCAAACTCACTTAATACGGTACAAAAGGTAACCAAAATCTATACCTAAGGAACAATTGCGAAGCCTTTGCACCCAAATGTGTACCCACTCGGATCATCATTTTCATCTCTGCATATGCAACGAGACTAGTTACCCAATCTCATTAGATAGTGTAAGTGACTAATTTTTCCATTCTACTTTAGTCACTTAACCACACCTTTGACCACTTGGAGGAGTCTCACTCACAACCTCCATAAGTCTTATTTCATACTTGGGCTTGCTAGCCCCAAGAATGGCATCCCCGCCACTCAACCTTTGCACTTGGTCTAAGTGCTCCACATGTCCAATCCCATGACCGACACCCTAAGGTACCACCGACATATCAGCCCGTTACGCTAAGGCCATGCTCATTCACCTTGGTCACACCGGTGGTCTGACACCACCTTCATCACAGTCCTGTCTCTCAAAGACTAACCATCCATTCATGAGCAATCATCCTAGATCCACTCTTTAGCATCCTTAGGATGCCCATAGACATGGGGAATAGCCTTCCCCAATATTCCTTTTCCGGTCCCCACCAAGTCCCTTTCTGCTCATGGCCATATTTGCCAACACTACCACTGGGTTGAGGCCCACAGGCCCGACCACTAAGTCCTACGGTCCTCTGGGACTTCTTCAGCACCCAACTATATCCTTGGTCACTACACTAGAGGATTACTCCTCTTCCTTTCCACAGTTTGGGCCTTTGGGACAACATTTCGGAACACTGTGGCCTTATGTGAGCTTCGTGGGTACTCTTCCCGCTTTCCGCCTTTAGGTGCTCTAGCCATGGGCTTAGAGTGAAGTTTCGTTAAGCCACGCCTGGTATCCAAATAGGTAGTGCCACCCACACTTGGATTGGGAGCATCGGCCAATTGATCTCCCAGGGGAACTAGAGCCAGCTCTTGAACACTTCACCAAGCTACCCCGCTTGTCGGTCCGTGTTCACTCTAGTCTTGGACTTCCCAGTAGGCAGCTCATCACCCAACACTGCATACAGCCTTCCTAGGCCAAACTGGCCTTTCCTAGCCAAACTGGCTCCACTGCAGTCCTCCCCCTTACTATACTTTTGGAGCTCACTAAACCCCCCAAGGTCTGGGAGACGAACGCTTTGGGCTTTCACCCTCTCAAACTCGAACTCGGACTACGGCTCAGACTCAGACTCGAACTCGGACTCGAGCTCGGGCTCAATCTCGGTCTCGGCCTCGGCCTCGAGCTCAGTCTCGGTGCCGGTTTCGGTCTTGGTCTTGGTCTCGGTCCTGGTCTCGGTCTCAGTCTCAGTCTCGGTCTCGACCTCAGACTCCATCTCGGATTCCATTTCAGGTCCATCTCGGACTACTCCGTCTCGGTCCATCTTAGACTCCATCTCGGGTCCATCTCAAACTCCATCTTGGGTCCTTCTTAGACTCCATCTTGGGTCCATCTTGGACTCCATCTCGGACTCCATCTCGGGTCCATCTCAGGTCTATCTCGAACTCCATCTCAGGTCCATCTCGGACTCCATCTCGGTCCATCTCGGACTCCATCTCGGGTCCATCTCAGACTCCATCTCGGACTCCATCTCGGACTCCATCTCGGATTCCATCTCAGGTCCATCTCGGACTACTCCGTCTCGGTCCATCTTAGACTCCATCTTGGGTCCATCTCGAACTCCATCTTGGGTCCTTCTTAGACTCCATCTTGGGTCCATCTCGGACTCCATCTCGGACTCCATCTCGGGTCCATCTCGGGTCTATCTCGAACTCCATCTCAGGTCCATCTCGGACTCCATCTCGGTCCATCTCGGACTCCATCTCGGGTCCATCTCAGACTCCATCTCGGACTCCATCTCGGTCCATCTCGGACTCCATCTCGAGCCCATCTCGGACTCCATCTCGGGTCCTTCTTGGACTCCATCTCGGTCCATCTTGGACTCCACCACGTGTCATATGTTGGTCCTCTTGTGTCCCTTTTCTAGAGACTCACTTATTGTTTGCTTTGTGCTTGTTCCTTGAGCACTTCATTGGGAGTTCCACTCCCGCTCTCGACCTTTCAAGTCGGAGCTTTTAGTCCAAACGTGTTACGCTCGTTTGGTTTTCGCTTCAGCCACTACCACATGGCACCCTTCCGGCTCCACTTTGGGGTTTAGGGATTTTGTGTCTCACAAATAGTACTCACTAAGACTCATCCTCTAATACCAAATGTAGCGCACGTGGTTTTGACCCTTTATATATGGTGATTTACTATGGGATAACACTACGAAGTGGAACCTAAACCCTCCATGTGCCATATGTCATATGCCACACGTCTAAAGGACAGTGGTGTGGAACCCGAGTTTCAGGGCTTTGGGCCACTATACGAAGGAACGGTGCCAAACTCCCAAGCATGAAGATAAGGAGCAAAAAAACTGAACCACGGAGCAACTCTTGAGCGTACAACCTAAGGAGCGAAGGAACAGGGGCACGGAGCAATTTGGAACAATCCTAGAGTATCCAACATCCCAATGCCAGAACCAACACACAAAATAAAGCCAAACGGAGTTTGGCATTATTTGAGCATACCGGTGGCCTAACGCGAGGACATCCGTACTCCACTAGTTAGCATGGTGTGAAACTTGGGCTTAAACCCAAACTGGATGTAGAACAAGGACAAGTACGCAAGCAAGAGTTAAACTATGCCATAGGTTGGTCAACCATGCCCGACCTACCCACTAACCCTACTATACATTTAAAACCCCATATAGCCTTCCCCCCCCCCCCCCCTGCCCTTGAGGAACACATGCTTTGGGCTTTCACCCCAAGCCTCCTTTAGTATCAGAAGTTAGTCTCTAGGATAGGCTTAAAACTTATTAAATATGGAATGACATTAGAATGTGAATTTGGATACAGGATGAACACTATTATGTTCAGGCCAATTTTTACATTCTGTAGATATGCCAAATAAGCAAATCTAGACACTTTCCATAAATAGCATTTGGGACTGAAATGAGACTAACACAAAGGGCATGATAGTGAGGGTATTTAGCAGACACGGTAAGCTATTATCTAGTGAGTATTAAAGGACCAAGCTCAATATCACGAGGGTTCCCAACACTAGCAAGTGCAAGTCAACATCATGAATTTCTCATCAACGTGTCAAGTTTGCTTGACAAATGACAACTTAAGATTTCCTTCCTTAGTGCCCTTCCGGTCTAAGTGCACATGTGATAACTAGTTTCTCAACTAGATTAGGTGGAGACTAATAAAGGGTTCAACAATACCGACTTCCTGCCGTCGTGGCAGTAAAGAAAGAGTGTCCGTAAGGACTAGTCGACAGGTAATTTTTAATACCCGAAATCACATTTACAACATGCAAGGCCTTGAAATTTAAGTTCCACTCTATTGTCATTTTACATGTGGTATGTAGCATATAACATGTGACACATAGCACATAAAAGGTTTAGGTTCTACTTTTTTGTTATCCTATGGTAAATCACTATAGGATAAAAGATGAAAGCCACATATGCTACACAATCAACCCAATCATTAGCAAACCAGCTTCCATATTTAATGCTATAAAACATGTTGTGCTAAACTTGATGAATCACTAGAGTAAAATTTAAAGCATGAATAAATATGGCATTTATGCACAAAAGGATATCATCCACCGATCATGACATATCTTCTGTACATTTGTATATTTTACTATTTGCAAACTTTTTATTTACATTCACTCGTTAGCTCAACAAACCAGGCTTGGCTTCTAGGGCTACATATCTAAATTTCAGGGAGCTAGCAATCATTGATCAGATCATTAATTAGCAACCAATGCAATTGTAAAAACAGCTCAAGAACCCTAGAAATAGAGTTTATCTATCAAGCACCAGATTCAAACGAATGTGTCAGTCTCATGCTTTTTGGGGGCGGCGGAAGACTTTGTCATGGGACCTTTCAAACAGTATATGAAAAGAATGAGTGAATTACACACTATAAAACAGACGAAAAATGAAGCAAATTAACTTAAACGCTGCTTAATGGAAATGAAAATGACCGATGATTGTTGACTCATCGGATAACATGGACACGTCACTCAAGAAAAATGCGCAAGTAACCAGCCAGATGACAACAAATGTAGGTCTACCCTGGAGGAGGAGGTACTTGCTGATGTTGACCGGAAGAACCGGCTACAGCCGGTCGAGGCAAGAACCACAGCTACCCCTCTTTCTTTGGCACAAAAGATAAGGAGCGAGCAAGCACACTTTCTTTGAGCCTGTGTGTGTGGTTTTTCCCCCTTCTTTTTCTCTTTGCGTGTGGGAGGGCGAGCGCCATCCCAGCGCAGTGGCGAGGGGATGAGAAGCAGCGCTTCTGGGTTTGCTTGACACGATGTGGGTTGCAATCGAGGCTGCGTGGATGGCTGGATTCGAGAGAAAGAAGCACAGGCACAAGCCCCCTTCGTCGGCCTCCTAACGATCAATCTTTCTTGTCAAGAGCAGCGCAGCGAGAGCAGAAAGGAGAATTTTTGTGAGTAAACCAGTGTGTGAGAGAGAGAGGAATTATTTCTTCCCCCCTTGTATAGACTGTACCCAACTTCTTCTCGATCGAGCGAGTGAGTTTTTGCTGGTTGGTCTTGAGATCTCGGTGTGTGTGTGTGTGTTGCGTGGTATTCTAGTTGGTACTGTTTGTGCAGTGTTGTGATTTGTTTTCGGAGCTACAGTCGCTGAGTGGCCCCGCGTTTTCTCTTTTTTTCTCCTCCTACCTTTCTTTCTTTTCGTTTGTCTGGGATGGGCCTTTTGGACAAGCTGTGGGACGACGTTGTAGCCGGGCCACAGCCGGAAACAGGACTTGGAAAGCTTCGCGAGAGAGAACTCGTCAATGCTGCAAGAGGTAACAAAAACAATCCTTTTGTTTCCAGAGCGTGTTTGATGGATCGACGTTCATTTGCTACAGCCAAAGAGAAGATGATCCATGCACCAGGATTTCGTCCGCCTTTTCTCGTTACTACTCCCGTCACTCGTGACAATTCCCTGGCAACCAGCCCAGGCTCGTCGACATGTAAGTTGCCACGTTGTTCTTCTTTTGTTGTTTCCTCGGGGCGATCTCTGGAGCTTTTGTTTAGTTTTTCGGTTTGTGACTGTCCTGGTATTGTAGATAAAGCTGTGATCTTTGTTAGTGGCCATAGCTTCTGATGGATCTTTGCTTTTTTCCTCGTTGCAGTGTCAGAGCTGGGGTGGAAGCTGTCGTGGTCTCCATCGAACAGGAAAATGGTGGACGAAGTTGCCGCTGCTGCTGCTGCTACTGCGAGCAGTCCTGAGCCGATATCTCCCAGTGCCTGCGAGTGGTAAGTCAAGAAAAAAACACTTTTCTACCACTTTTTTCTAGACATTCATAAGCGATGTGTATTTGCCAGGATGGTCGCCAGTATTTTGGATCGATAAAGGCGAATAGATAAGTCCAACCGATATATGTGTAACGTGTGTGAATACGAGAACTATATATAAACAAAGAAGCAATCAAAGAAAAGTTTCAAAGCACATATCTTTCAATCAACAGCGGTGGAGATTCGATAGAACTTCGTGCAAAGATTATACTTTGGCTGGATGATTGCTCACTATGCTATAAGGATCTCTCTTTTCTTCTTTGACTCTCGAGGTAGAAGAAGAACAAAGAAGAGATAATAAATAGAAAGATCTTTTCTTTCGCAAAGTTTTGCCACCATCACTTTCGTTCATTCACAACCTGGACGAGATAAGTGGGGTCTTTTTCTGGAGGTGAGCGGCAGCAGCGGCGACGCCACTTCCAAGCACAACCGGGTATCCAATGTCTTTGAGGATCATCTCCACCCCACTTAAGGCTCCCAGGAGTTGCAACTGGGACAAAAGAAAGCTTCTTGAGTCGTGCAAGTTTTCGATAAAAAAGAAAGAACTTCTCACCTCGTTTACGAAACCCAGGTGCCCAATCCTGAAAACCTTGCCTGCCACTTTGTTGAGTCCCACTCCCAAGCTCAAGTTATACTTTTTCCATGCCATCTTCACCACGTCTAAGCTGTTGAGATAAGGTGGTACCACCACTGCTGTTACGGTGTCACTGTTCCACTCGGGACGTTTAGTGCACAGCTTCAGTCCCCACGCTGCCACCGCTAGCCTGCGAAGATTTCACAATCAGTCGCGTCAAAAACCTCTCGAAGTTAAGATACACAAGCCGATAACTTGGAGAAATGAAAACATCGAACCTTGTGGCTTCTCCAAGCCTGGCGTGCCTCTTGATAACGTTGTCCAGGCCCTCCTCGAAGATCAAGTCGAGGGAGGCTCGAAGAGCGTAGAGCATCTGGCTCGAGGGAGTGTAAGGCCAGTAGGAGCCGACCTTGTAAAACTTGAGGTAGTCGGCCCAGTCGAAGAAAACTCGGGGAGAGGTGGCCGTCTTGGCTGCCTCGAGAGCTTTTGGTCCGGCACAAACTATTCCCAATCCCGTTGGAAGTCCCAGAGCTTTTTGGGACCCCGTCAAGGCAACGTCCACTCCCCACTCGTCCATCTTAAACTCGATTGCTCCAATCGATGAAACTCCGTCCACCAGCAGCAATGCCGGATGCTTATGCTTATCTAGTAAGGGAAAAAAAAAAAAAAAACGAAGGAAGAAACAACGTAAGTTTCATGAAGGATATGAAACAAAAAAGAAGAAACGAACCGAGGAGTGCTCGTATCGATGGGATGCTGTTGGTAACTCCGGTAGAAGTTTCATTGTGGACGATACATATAGCTTTGATCTCGTGATTATAATCCATGGCCAACTTAGCGTTGAGGATGTTAAGGTCGGCTCCAGCTCCCCACTCGCAGTCCACTACGTCCACGTTAAACTTGAGACGCTGCATTTGATCGATCCAGAGCAGGCTAAACTGTCCCAGACGGAACGAGACAATCTTATCTCCAGGTGATAATGTGTTGGTCAGTGCACTCTCCCAAGCTCCAGTTCCTGAGAGAGAAAAAAAGGAAAAAAAAAGCATTTTCGAACTTGACTTCACAGGAAGAGCAGCAAGAAAAAGAGATTTTTCTGAGTACCTGTTGTTGGAAAGATGAACGAAGTGGCAGTCTTGGTCTTAAACAAATCCTTGACACCGTCCAGCACGGATTTGGAGAGCGTAGCAAACGCTGGAGAGCGATGATCCTCGTTCCCCCTACTAAATGCTTGAATTACCTTCTCGGGGACATTGGTCGGGCCTGGAACGAAGAGATGATTCCTGCCAGGCGCGGGGAAGTACTCCATCTCGACTCTCCTCTTCGGCGGGGCTCTCCCACCGGAGCTCTATCTATCACAAACACAGAGTGGTGTCAATGCTACGTGCTACGTAATAAGCCAGAAAACGGAAACTCCACAGCCACACAAGCGTGATTGGATGATCCGTGAGCTCACCGTGAAGTAATGGCTTTAGATTAGTGGTAAGAAAGGATCGACGTGTTTCTCCAAAGATCTGGGAGGCGAGACTTGATGTTAAGTGAAAAGATGATCCAGGCTTGAGAAAAAAGAAAATCATACCAGTTTACATGTTCCGTAGGCGATGACAAATCGACATCATCCGGAAGTGCCAGCAGAAAAATGCGAGGAGCACACGTCGAAAGAGAACCAGGTGATCCTGAAAAGATGAAAAATTAAATCATAAAAAAAAAAGAGGACATTCCAAGAACTAAACCAGAAACTTCAGCTATTAGAACGAAATAAGAAATACAAGCTTTTGCGTGACCAGATATATATATGTATATACAGGAAAAGTTTTTCCTTTGTACTGTGGAACAATCGAGATGGATTACAGAAAACAGCGAGATGGCTGTCTTCTCCACTCGCATTTTCCTGTCTTCCCTCAAGAAAGTTTGAGCTACCAAGGCAAAGACCATAAACACATACCTCTCAAGAAAATGTCCAAGCTCCTCCGACTCCAAGTTGCCATTTTTCCCTCGAGCCAAGGAAAAAACTTCACAAAATTTCCTTTTGTTGTCGTCGTCATCGTTTCGATCGTGTCACAACTTGACGCTGCTCAAGCTGTGCGAACTATTGTTCCGTCCTCCTCCTCTTTCTCCTCCAATTCTAATATCCTTGACAACCAGCTTGATCGTGTGCGCGTGAGACCCCTTCATCACGTCCAAGCACTCCTCCAAATCGGCATCGCCATCCAGGATCACCCACTCCGAATCGTCGTCCAAGTACTTCAGCGTAAATCCATCGCCCTCCAGCCGAAACCGGCCAGAGATCTCCTCCCGCAAGCGCCCGTACCCAAACCCCGTGTACGGCACCTTAAACCGCACCGTGTCGGACCCCATTGTCGCCTTCACGGTGACAATGGGACATCCGTACCTGTACGGCGGTGGCGACGACGCCGGCGAGTCGCCGGACGACTGGTACGGAGATAACACGTGCCCGGCCTCGATTCGCGACAGCTCCAGCTCAGGCGGAGACGAGCTCCGCCGGAACGCCGCTTCCGTACAGTTGCCGGCGTCGAGGGGACCGCCGTTGAGCGCCGCCAGCGCCGCCGAGGAGCCGTGGACTCGTGGCTCCATCTTGACCGCTACCGGGCGTGGTTCCGTACTGGTTGTGGTGGCTGCTTCCACACCCCTGGATGTGCTCTCCACGTAGTGAGACAACCACGAGGATCTCCCCTCGCCTTCGTCGGAGTTTGGCTTCTCGTCCGTGTCGGAAAGGAAATCTTTGCTGGTGATGGCGTTGGCGGCGGGTTCTTGAGCTGGTGCTTCAAAATCGGGACTTCTGGATCGAGCAGGAGAACCTTGAGCTGGTGCTTCAAACTCGAGGCTCCTGGATCGAGCAGGAGTAGGAGTAGCAGTAGCGGTTGGATCGAGAGTGCTTCTGGAGTTCTTCCTGGTGATGGCGGCAGCTGCAGCGGCGGCGGAGGCGAGCTCGCCAGTGAGTGCATTGAGCTTGACAGCGCCATCCAGTCCCTGGACCGAATCAATCACGCCTTGGAGCTTGATCAGCGAGCGGCTGACCTTGTTGATCTTGCGAGACGGCCAGCGGGAGATCCCATACTGCCGGCAGATCCGCTTCAAAGTCGTAGGACACACTGAATAACACAGCCAAGCTCAGCTCGCAGCTAGAGGAACGAAATCTGAAAGAGAGCTCTTACCTCCAATGCTCTTGGCAGCATCCTTCAAGCTCCCAGCAAAGTACTGCTGCAAAACCTCCAGCCCGATCGTCTTCTCACTCATCGATCGCTTCCTCTCCAATCTCTTCGACTTGCCCGTCAGCACATCGTAAGTAGCAGCGATCGGCGGAGCTCCTCCGCCGCTCCCCCATGAACTGAAACCATCGCCCACCTCCAATTCCTCGAGACTCGGCCCCCTCGTCTTCTTCGTCTTGTGTAGCTTCGCCTCCCAACGGTCCCCAATCGGATGGTTCTTCTTCGTCGTCCCAGCGGTCGGAGCCACCGTAGCCGTCGATCCTAACTGGTACTCGTGCCGTAGCTCTTCAGCTGAAAGCGCCCGTAAGCTCCGGCTGGCGCGCTGCATCGTCGCCGAGATGGACGTGAGCAACGCGGCGCCGCCAGCGCTATCGATCTCCGCCGGCATGAAGAACTCGAGCACGTAATCCTCCGCGCCAGTGATGGAGCTCCTCAGCCGGATCGCCACCGCGCCGCCGAGCTTGAAGTAGCGCGCGTGGTGGACCAGCGGGTACTCCTCGATCAGATAGTTCTTGACGTCCGAGATGAAGCACGGCTTGTAAGATGCGAATGCCTTCCCTGCTACTCCCTGGCCTTGATCGAGGCTGTGATCCGCGCAAGCGTGGTGGAAGCCCACGAAGCGAGGGTCCGACACGTAGAACGGGGCGTCTCTCGTGAAGAGGCTGATGTGATCCGAGGTAGCGGCCGCGGCGGGTGTGGTATCGGCGACGAGGATCTCTTCGTGGCCACTGCCGTTGTGGAGGCACGGCAGCCATGTCTGTGCGATTGGTAGCTTGTGTGTCTCACAAACGGCACGGAGGATTTCGGAGATTTCTTGGTAGACTGCGTGCCGGCCTTCGCTGTGGATCTGCAAGTCATGGATTCGATACTTCCAATTTAGAAAAATCTTGTTTTTCGAGTTGGAGAAGCTCTAAAAGTCAAAAGAGATCTACGAAGAATTGGGAATCTTGACAACGAAGAGGAACAACTTGCTCGACTTTAGTTTGAGAAAAATGAGCTCCTCTAAGCTTGGAAGAAAGTGAGAGAGAAAAGGCTTGCCAAGAAAAAGCTTTGTAGGAACAAAGAGAAAAGTCTTCGAAGAACTAGCTTAGATCAGGAACAAAAGGGAAAGAGAAAATCTTCGAAGAACTACTGAAGGAACTAACAAAACTCTGATCACGCTTACCTCGAGAACCATTGGATCGTGTTCTTTGGGTGCTCCAGCCAAGTCCACAGCCTGAAAAGATCTCCTCCATTAGAGACTAGAAGACAAACAAAACGAGCACACACGAAAGATCTACTCGTACCTGGAGAGCACTGCAAATAATCCCGATCTCGTTCCCAAACTCCACTTTCTCCACATTGGTGACGAGCTCGATCACCGCCAGGCACGAGCGCGAGCTGGGATCCAGCACGGGCACCGCCACCAATCCCTTGACATCACACCGCGCAGCCTCGCGGATTCGCAAGTACTCGCTGCTATCGTAGAACTGGACGTTGGGCGTCCACTCGGGTGCCCGGCTCGAGAAAACCCGGCCCGGGAGGCCGAGGTGGGAGGCCGAGGTGGAGTCCGAGGTCTTCTCGGACGGGAAAACGTAGGCCGTGGAGAGCGTCCGGTAGCGCAGGAGATCGAATTTGCTGTGCATCACCGAGTATGGCTGCTCCTGCGTGGTGAGGATGATCTTGTTGTCCTGCGAGAGGATCGGCACCCACACCTGTGCGAGCGCCTCGGTCTCGGATCGCGAGATGAGGCGCAGCGCCTCCTTGAGCCGCTCCGTGAAGAAATTCGTGGCGAGGCTGGCCATGGCGCCACCACCGGAAGGAATCCCTTCATCCAGCGAGGGATTCTTGCTCGAAATATCGCTGCCCTCGCCCAGGAGCTCCTCGAGGAGCGAGGAATCGAAGGAGAAGGCGCCGAGGGAGCCGAAGGATCGGTAGCTCGGCGGCGAGCTGTCAGAGGCCTTGAAGAAGAGGTGATGGGGGCTGACAATCTGTGAGGGGAGAGGAGAGGAGGAGGAGATTTGCTGCGCTGCCGCCGATTGATCCACCGGAGAGAAGGAAGAAACCAGCCATGGCGAGGATGATCCATCAGGGGCGAGGGATTGCCCCGGGAGAGTGTCGAGATCCATGAGCTCCGATAAATCGTCAAGAAGGGATTTGGAGGGCGAGGAAGCTGTGACCACCGCCGCCGCGGCCATGTCTACCACGGAGGACCAAGGGGCATTTGGGGAAGAAGAAGAGTAGAACAACACTGGACTCTCAGTGGACATGGTAGCACCTCGATCGCATCACAGCATCGCCGGGCTCGCCGCGCGCGCTCGATCGAGCGAAGAGGACGAAATTTAGGGCTCAACAGTGCTCCGCGATGCTACTCCACATATTTAAATGCGAAGAATCAGATGAATTACCTCTTGGTAGAGAATGGCCCTAAATTTATTTAAGCCCAAAATTCTTGGACCGAAACATTCTACGCGGCAAAATGGTAGCGTACGGTGGATGTGCCGTCCACGCGTCCCTGCGTGCCACGTGGACGGGCACCATTTTGGCGCTTTTTACTAATTTGAGAAAAACGCGAGCTGCGCGTTGCTGCTGGTCGCGAGGGCGACAGAATCGCCGGTCGCGGATACGAATCGGCGATACCGTCTGATTTTATTTTATTTTTAATTAGTTTTGTTTTTGGTAGTTTTTAAACTTATTTCTATTATATATGTGTATTTGTCTGTGAGCCTAATGTCAAACCCCTAACATATGCTCACAAAAGAATAATAATAAAAAAGAAAAACGACCGGGTCGTAAATTGGACAAGCAACTCGCAGGACTACCGAGACATCACATATAAGATTCCCCGGCATTTGTTTAATCGGCACGATGCAAGTGGGATTTTGGATGCATTCCTATAAACAGCGCAAGAAATGATTCGTTTCCTCTCAAACTTAACTTGGGCCAATGTCTTCTTTAAGGTTTTTGCACCAAGGTTTTGGAGGTTGCCAAGTTTGTGGTGTTCTTTGGCTCTGTCTAACTGGTTCTCACGTCTCCCCAAAAGATTTACCCAGTGGTGAAAAACGCGATTAGAGAAAGATTCCAGGAATCTGGTGAATCATGGCCGGTGGGACAGGAGGAACCTTTGAATCTAGTTTTCATTTGTCGTTTGCGATAAAATTTTTCCAATGCTTGCCTGGAGATACCAAACGCCGCTCATTGGCTCGCCAATGGAATGCCGCTGTCGCCTTGTGGGGAAAAATATAATTCCGGGATTCTTGCTAACAAAATTGTCGTTAAAATATCTTCCACTGCGACGACGCGATGCGTTGCTGCTAACATCGACGTTGTGCTAATCTCTAGGTTCCTCGTGTTGGAGTGGAACCTAGAAAAAATGAGAGAATAGGAAAAGCATTGTTTTCTTGAGAAGTTATCCCAGCTCAACAACAAAAGATCAAGGAATGAAGAATCTGTTTTGCTGCTGGAGAGAAGAACGCCACAACCAAAACGATCGATCGATCGCCCCGGACGATGTTGATGTTGATGCTTTTTTCATAGTCTCAACAGTGATCCAAAACTTTCTTTTTCTTCTTCAGGCCGCAATAGCTTTCCGGTGGTGGTGGCCATCGGAAGCAGCTTCAAAGTGGTGCGCCGCGGACCTGGAGCGATGCGACGAGGAGTTGTAGAGCACGGCACCGTTGCTGGCAGGAAGAAAAACTCCAGTCCCCGGGCTGGGAACTCGCGTGATCCCCGGAGGGGGAGGAGTCGACCATCCCGGGCCGACCATAGTCACTGGAGAAAACGGGCCGACGCTGGCGATGATCACTGGCTGCTGTGCCTGGAGAACCTGTCCTGGTGCTGTTCTGACCGGGACTACCATTGGAGCCGGGACTCCCTGCTGCGTTCGTGACGACTGGAAGCCTCTTGCCGGTGCTAGAACGTGGACAAAGTTGTGTCCCGGCTTGTTGCCGAAAGAAGCATCCGGAGCTACCGTGGGAGATACTGGCGAGCCGCTTGGTGACGTTGGGCTCCCGATGATCGCTTTCAAGCTTTTGTTGGCCATTTTACCAAAGGTGACCAGCATCCGTGTGCTTTGCAGAGGCTGCACTGCGCACTGTACCATTTGTGCGCTGTTGCCTTCGAGCACTAGTACTGACCTGGACCAATATCCCAGGTCACGTCATTGACAAAATCCAACTTCTGTAGCAAGCAGAAAAGTAAAATTGTTTACCCCGCAGGAAGGCCAACTTTGTATTTCTCATCCGTGCTGCTGCTGTTCGCTTTCAAGTTGCAACCGAATGCTAGCTCGGACTGCGATCCCAGGGAAAGAATAAACAGAGGTTGCTCAAAATTATTGTGCTTGTGCGGAGGCATGTAGTCTCCCTGTCATATCGCAAGAACTGAATAGAATTAGCCATGAAAGAAAGAACTTCGTACAACTGAAGTGCGGCTTACCGGCTCCAAAACACTTATACTACATGAATCCGGTCGTTTGCTTGCAGGAACGACCTGACACTTTACTAGGCGATCAATTATTGATTCCAAAAATGTGGGCATCGGTTCAGCCGTCTCTTCTGTATGTACAAGTTGAAACTTAGATGAACTGCCAGAAATATAAACAGCCTACCTGTAACGGGCGACGAGATTTCAGACGGTATAGTGCCGAAATGAATTACTTCTTTTCCCTTCGCTTTTGAAGATCGCTTACCGCCCGCTGCATATAAAGAAAAACTTGAAAGTTTTAGCGTCGCCAAAGGTCAGAACACAAAAACGAAAAATTGGACAAAAGATTTGGTGGACCTTCAATTTTGTTTTTCTTTTTTGCAGCATGAGACTCGCTAACCAGAGCCGCTAGCCGCGAGGCTTCTTTGGTATCAAAAACGCCTTCGTGAACTTTAAGCCCCTCTAGCACATTTACCTGCATGAGAACAGATAAAACGATGCTAAAGAAGGACAAAGGAGAAACCTTTTGGCCGTCAATCTCTTCAAATCCGCTCATGGACTTTTCCGCACTTTCGTCGGCTACAGATGACGTCTTCTTTGCATCTGCAATAGCTAAGAGGGTGTCAGCCTATAAACTATTTGAAGTGAACGAAAGACTTAAACTTAGTCAAAAGGAAAAAAACCTGAACGTTTTGCAGTCGAGATGTTCGACGAAGGCAATTCTGTTTTGAGTTCTTCAACGCTAGAAGTTGTATCCGAAGCAATCGACGCCTCGTCAGCGAGAGGACTGTCACTCCTTTTACTCTCTATCTCGGCATCAACCTTGTTGCTCTTTAAACCGGACCTGATCGAGGGGTTCCCCTCAACCTGTACGGGAGAATCACCACCACAGGCCACTGGAGCCTGCTTTCTAAAAGCAACCTGCTGCAACGAGAAGAGGACGTCCGCAATGGAATAGTACTGCTGCATATGAAGAACGGGATTCCAGTTGTACCGTCGCTGGTGAACGCTCCCAAGTACGAAGTCGTATTCCCCGGGACGACCCACAACCTGTTGGAGATGCTGGCAAAGTGCGTCGATGATGGCATTTGCTGCCGCGAATTCACCCTTTAACCAAGAGATGAAAACGTCTCTCTCGTCTCCAGCAGTAGCAGCCGCGACCCAGTGCCCCCCAGAAGACTCTAGAGACACTCCCCTATCGACCATGCAAAGGCTCCCATCTTCTGGGGCCATCTAGCATGCTCAAACAAGAAAAGAAGCAAGAAGCAAACAAAAGAAAAAACCTCGCTCCAGGCAATTCCTAGTTGTGGAAATATCTATGCCGAAACCAAAACTCACGAATCGACTCCAAAATTAGCAAGCATCCAGATGAGTAGCATCGAGCATTGCTGCTAGAACACTAATCTAGATCCCAAACCTCGTGAAATATCGGCGATCGCGGTGGAATTCGATGCCCCGGCGGAGAAACAAGCCCCGATTTCTTCCTCGGCGATCGATCCAGGCAATATTACGGCGGCGGCGCCGGCGCCAGCACCTTCTTCTAGAGCAGGGATCGGCGCTCTAGCGCCATCGCCATCGCCGCTCCTCCTCCTCCTCGACGATCCCTACTGGAACTCTAAAACTTTCCCTATTTTTTCCATTCTAGGAGGTGTCCCAGAGAACACAAGACGCTGCTGAGAGAAGACCGTGAACATCGTGAAAAATGAAAGCCCCTCCCCTCGATGGGGTCCATCCACAGGCGATTGTGGCATGCCACAACCATGCCACGTCATGCATCGGATGGATGGCCGCATGGCCGTCCGTCACACTAACAGACGCCACCCAACGTTCCCTCGAATGGACGGGCAGCTTTGCCCTAAAATCTGCCACCATCTTTTACTTTTAAACTCTTATAACAGGAAATAATTGGTACGGCTGACAATGACCATCTGCATACACACCACAGATATTCCATGCCTACCAAACTCGGATAGTACATGAGATCTTCCAATGCGTATATGCTCGCTTCTTCTCTTTCTTTCGTGTTGAAATTTTGCGAGGCCAGGCCACGGATTCTCATTAGGTCTCCACGTGGTAAAGTTCGTTATTAAATTCAGTTTGCCGTTGTCAAATTTCTCATGCTATTGAATGGAAGGAATTTTTTTTCGTACTATATGGTTTCGTGAATGATCTTATGTTAGAATGCTGCCTAGCTACGTTTCTTCCAATAATGCCCTAGGCGACCAGAGGTGTTTTCTCCATGGAACCAATAATGACGAACATATACCCACCACAGCCTTTCGAATTTCGCGACACGGAACGAATCGAACCCATGCAGACTTGGCGCATTGTCCTACGTCTGATCGCGGCATCCGACGGCTGAGAGCCGCCCATTGGCCTTGTGGCTGGTATCCATGGGACCCCTCCAGTATCAAACATGTGGCGCGTGTTTAGGCCCCGCAACCTCAAGAGAGCCACGTGCTGCCACGCGAGCAATCCTAAAATCTTAAGGTCCAATTGAAAAAGTCCACGTGGTAAAGGACGTTTATCTTCTCTCACGGATGCCGTTGGATCGTACATGTTTGGAGTGTTAGGGTTTATGCTTGTGTGGGAGGGCAGAAGCTCGCGGCCGGTTAGCTCCAGGTTTGGATTGCCATTGGGGGTCGAGAATGCGGCCGGCGGGATAAGATTTTAGCTCCTGGCGATGGAGTCGGCATTGAATCCTGGCGCACGGAATTCTCTCTTCTCTGGAGTGGGGATTTCGAATTCGCTCGAAGTGCCGGTAGTTCTAGGCGTAGATTTAGGTAGCTCGTCGAGGTTGTTTTCGAGGACACAGAGGAAGCGATTGCTGAGACGATGTAGGAGGCATTTTTGCGTCAGGCAGAGTGAGAATGGCGGGGGGGTTTCTTGTGGGATGGGGTTGGAGATCGGTGATTTTTCCCATGCCGATGCCGAGAGGGGATCCAGAGTCATCGATGTGAATCAAGCGTGGGAGCTCTTGAGGCACGACGTGGAGTTTTTGGATTTGAGAGCTCGGCAGGATGTTTTGGCAATCAAAGACGCTCATGACAAGGTATGGTCTTTACTTTGATAGTTCCTTTACACTTCCATGAATTACACTTTCATGTATTTTTATCTCAGGTTGTGGAGGTGCTAAATCCTCTCGCTCGAGAAACCAAGTCCATCAACACGCTCAAACGTGAGCTAGCTAACTTACAAGAAGATTTGCAAAGAGCCCATGCACAGGTAAAAGAGTGTCTTTTCTTCTTTTCCTCCGAGTTTTCACGATGAATTCCAAATGCCATTTGCTTTACCAGGTGCACATTTCAGAAGCTAGAGTAAATCACACGATCTCGAAGTTGGCAGAGATGGAAACCATGGTAAACGACGAGCTCCTGCAGAAAGATGAAGAAGCAGTGACCGTAAGGAAGAATGCCACCAGCAGCAAATCTAAAGGACTAAACATCGCAGGGCCCGTGAAGCGATATCCAGCCGAGATGAAAAATTATTGGTATCCGGTTGCTTTTTCGGCTTGCCTCGACTCTGAAAAACCTGTAAGCTTTCCAACCCCACAAACTTTGCTTTTCTCATTGTGTAGCTGACAGGAGACCCTTTTTCTTTGTTTACTTTTCTTTCAGCTGGCAATTGAGATCTTTGAAAAGAATTGGGTGCTTTTCCGGGGCAAGGATGGCCGGGCTGGATGCATCCATGATGCTTGCGCACATCGAGCTTGTCCACTTTCTCTCGGCAAAGTCAACGATGGCTGTTTGCAATGTCCATATCACGGTAAAGTTTATGGCGAGGTGATCCGTTTTCTTTAGCTTTAACCTTTGTCTCTTTAGGATGGGAGTATGCAACAAGTGGCTCCTGCGAGAAAATGCCGTCTACGAGATTTGTCCCGACGAAAGTGAAATCAATGCCGTGCATAGAAAAGGATGGACTGGTTTGGATTTGGCCGGGCTCGGCAACGCCAGAGAGCGACATTCCGAGCTTGCTACCTCCAGATAACTTCACACTGCATGCCGAGGTGATTGCTTTGTTTTTCCCTTTGTTTGTTCTTTTCAAAGCATTGCTTTTTGTAGATTATTCTTGACTTGGAAGTGGAGCATGGTCTTTTGATGGAAAACTTGCTCGACCTGGCCCACGCTCCGTTCACGCACACTACAACGTTCGCCAAAGGCTGGTCTGTCCCAAGGTTCGTTTATCGTTGGTCTCTTTTCGTGTCTTAACAATTCCTTGGCTCCAGCTCCGTGAAGTTCCAAACACCTGTAGAGACTCTACGTGGCTACTGGGATCCATATCCCATTGATATGGAGTTTAGGCGACCGTGCATGGTTCTCTCGACGATCGGCCTCGCAAAGCCAGGCAAACTAGAGGGCAGTGACACTCAGTCGTGCAAAAACCATCTCCACCAATTGCACGTCTGCATACCCTCGACGCGAGGTAAGACGAGGCTGCTCTACAGGATGTCTTTGGACTTCGCTCCCTGGCTGAAGTACGTCCCGTTCATCCAAACTCTTTGGGTGCATTTAGCACGAAAGGTATGCCTCTGGTTTTTCTTATCAAGGCTTCGTTACTATATTCTTTTTCTCAACAGGTTCTAGACGAAGATCTAAGACTGGTCGAAGGGCAACAAGAGCGAATGGTTCGTGGAGCAAACGTATGGAACCTCCCAGTTCCATATGACAAGCTAGGCGTACGGTACCGCAAATGGAGAGTCTCTTGCGAGCACGATCACGCCGATCACCACCAACACCAAGCGGAGGAAGATTTTACTCCCAGTTCCTCGGAGCCATCGTGATGGTTCTTCCATTCACAAACTCGAAAAACAAACTGTAAATGAAGTAAAAATTTCATTAGTTACACTCGAGATTTACAGCAGCGGATACACACTATAAACTCTTCCTCTCCGATACAAACTCTCTTCTGTCAAGCTTTGGATGATCCTCTTCTCTCATGGTACCAGTGACCAGCGTCGAGCCTGCTACGTTGTTATACACGCGTATTGGATCGTCAGTGACCACTCTCGACGAGGAGTTGCCTGGTTAGCTCGGCTAAGTTGCAAACAGCTTGCCTGGTGTGGACGAGAGCTTCGTCGCGTTGGAGGATCTCTGTCTCAAGATCGCTGCGTTCTCCTTGTTGCGCCTGTGAATCCATCAACTCCACCTCGTCAGAAAGGTTGGCACTTAGCTGGACGAGGCTTTGGAGAGCCGAGACGGCCGGTTGGAACTCCGAGAATTCGATGAAGTCCCGGCTCCTGTCCGTCTTGTGCTCGAGTATCTCCGTCAGCTCATTGTCTTTGCTGGCTATGGCTTTGTGAAGGCCTTGAAGCTCGAGGTCCTTTTCCACCAAAAGCTCCTTCGCGGCTTCTACTTCTTGTTCCAGATGCTGGAGCTTCTTCTCGTCCTCCGCGGCTTGCTCCTGGAGCCTGATCGTCTGCACTTCGTTCTCTAGCAGCGCACGGTTCGAAGCGAAGAGCTCGTGGTTCGTCTGGCGGAGTACCGACTCCCGGCTCAAGAGTGATGGCTTGTCGTCGGCAATGGAGTCCACCAGCGCCTCCGATAACGCGGAGATTTGCTCCACGGCAAAGTTGACTTGAGACATCTTCACGTTGTTGGCGTCCAGTTTCTTCCGCATGGAAACGAGCTCCTCCTCTTTGTCCTTCAGCGCAGCCACCACTTCGACGTGCTTTTCTTCCTTCGCGCTGAGCAGAGCCTTCAAACGCTTCACGTCCTGCTGCAACGCGTTAACCACCGTTTGTGCGTGTCTCAGCTCGCTGTCTTTCTGATCCAGCTCCAGCTTCATCGAGGTGAAGTCTGACTTTAGCTCTTGGAGCTCCACCTGAGACGCAGTTAGCTCCGCTTCCTTGAGCCGTAAAGCCAGCTGCGTATCCGAGAGAGCGGTCTCCTTCTGCTGTAACTCTCTTTTGAGAGAATTTATCTCCGTTGTAGCTTCTTGCAGTGCTGACTTCTCGTTTCTTAGCTCTAGCTGTAGCTTCTCGGCCTCCAGCCTTTCATTCGTGGATTGCTCTTCAAGCTTCTTGTATGACCCCTTTGCGAGTCGTACTTGTTCCTCCTCTCGCTTAGTTCTTTCCTTCGCCTCGGCCAGACTGAACTCGAAAGACTCCACCAGGCTCTTCTGCAGAGCGATCTCTTCTTGCTGGCTTTTTATCTGTATGGACTGCTCCTCCACCGTTTTCTTGTACTGCTGAAGTCGCATCTGCGAGAATCTCAACTCTTCTTGCACTTCCGTGAGAAGATCTTTGACGCCTTTCAGCTCCTTCCCAGCCTCCACATTCAACGCTTTGCTCTTCGAAAGATCTGCCTCGAGTGATTTTAGCTCTCTTTCGACGCTCAGGTACGCGATCACTCGGGTGCTCAGGTCCGCCTCGGTCTTTTGGATCTGTTCTTGTTTGAACTTCACATTCTCCTCCAAAGTCCTGAGCCCGGCCTCTTTTAGCTCGAGAGAACTTCGAAGCTCCTTAAGCTCTACAGCCTGCTGTGCAATCACCTCGTTTGCATGCTTGAGCCGCGAGTCTCGCACCTTCAACTCCCGGCGGCACTGAGCAAGCGCCTCGTCTTTGGCAAAGATCTGAGCCTTGGATCGAGCAATCAACTCCTGCTTTTTCGAGAGAGTCTTCTGCAAGGCCTCGAGCTGGCGCTGCTGCTCGTCAACCACCTTCTGCGCATTCTCGGCCTCCTTTGCTTGCTCGGCCAGCTCCTTGTAAAGATTTCCAATCTCATCGCGCTTCTTTCCCTGCCCCTGCCGAGCATCCTCGAGCACATCCCCTCTCTTAACGAGCGCAAACTTCGAGTTCTCTAGCTGGTGGTGATCCTCTCGAGCCACAGTCTCGGCAGTCTTAAGCTCTTCCTCCTTCCTCTTGAGCTCCTCGTCGAGAACTACATGAGAAACGCCGCTTCCACCGTCCAAGACCGACTCTATGAGCCCCTGGTCGCTACCACTGCCGCCGCCCAAGAACAGCCTCTCCAGGGCAACCCTTGCTGGCTCCGATGGATCGCTACTGTTTGTCCTCTCGCTGGGAGTGTCTAGAACCGCACTGACCTGGCGTAGCCGGGGGAATCGCCGCCGCTGGTGCTTCTGTCTCGCCAAAACCCTAGCCTGGAGAACGATCGAATCGATCACGGCCGAGCTGACGATTGGAATTGTGATTGGTATCTCACCTTGGCGAAGCCACCGGGATCACAATGCCGCGATCGCGACGCTCCAAGCGCCTGGTAGCACGCTGTAGCCGCCGACGCCATCGCCTCGATTCCAAGGTACACAGACTACGCCACGAATGTGATTGCCACCTAGGCGTCACGCGGCAACGCTTTATCCACTTGAAGTTTGCCTCGTCAGCCCTAGAATTTGAATTTGGGGGTTGCCCTAAAAGACAGAGCTCTTTGTCGTGGAGCTCGCTCGTTGTGTCCGCCGCGATGGATTCTCTCCTCTTCCAGGTCTGGTTCTTTTCAAGACCAGGGATAGCTAGGGAATGCAAGGCGCTGGCACGAGGAATCGATTTGGATTCCAAAGCCGCAAGCCGGAGGAGGAGGAGGATTCGAGCGCGAGCGCCTCGGGATTTCATTTCGGAGGCGCCTGGTCGGATCTCAACACAAAGCCTGCGGAGGTAGGACACCTCGCCAATGTTACGGCTTCGATGCGATCCATAATCCTGCCAGCGCGGCCCAAGACTCCGGTCGCGGGTTGTAGTACCAATGTTTCTCCAAGGTATCATGTTTCGTTTTTTATTTCTTTTTCTGTTCTATCGACAAGATCTTTGGTATAGAAGCAAGGAGAACACTGAATTCAACCATTTCCAGAGAACTAGTACCATTGTTTCTCCAAGGTATTCGCTTTTCCTTTTCTTTTTTTCCTTTTGCTACAAGAATTTTGGTATAGAAGCAAGGAAAACACTGAATTCAACCATTTTCAAAGGACTGGAACTTCGACGTTGAAAAGCGATCACGATCCCCAAGCCCTCTCTGGAGTAAATTCCACGTACACCTCAGAAAGGTACCGGAAACTCAAAGAAACATAGATTTCTAACGAAAACATGGACCAGAAACGACGCCACTTATACTCAAAACAGGCCTAACACCGGGCCTTCCAGTTTCAAAAGACTAAACGATCATGAATCGCTCTCCGGATCAACATTTGCAAGCATCGAGAGAACGAGCACCACCGCAAGCTTTGTTTCCATAACCAACCCTCTACTGAGGAAAGATCACGCCGGTACTAAGCTATCTCGTTCTGTTTCTCACAACAATCTGGGTGCATTGGTGGCCAAGCTTTCGACTTGTTCTGCGGCATGTAACCGGCTTGTTGAACTGCCAGCGCAGCACTCCACGAACGGCGATTCACAGCAATCGAGTTGCTTGCCGGCTAGCAGCTGCGTTTCTGTTGCTGCTCAAAGCCAGACGACGAGTACCATATCCAGCACGCCGAAGTTGTGGGTGAACAAGCACCGTCCCGAGAGCTTGTCCTCGTTCGTTATCAACTGTCGGCAGGCCCACGATTTGAAGCAACTAGTAACTTTGTTGCGTGATTTCCGTGCTTGATCATCCTTGGACTGAGCACTTTGTGAATCAGATATCTGCGGGGCACTGTCATCACTTGCTTTTCGAAGGACCTCCTGGATGCGGAAAAAAGAGTTTGATTATGGCGCTGCTGCGAGATGCCTTTGGAATTTCTGCGTGGCTGGTCTGTCTTTATCGCATTTTCTTTTAAGATTCTTATGCTGGATAGATCACGGTGTTTTGATTTGTTTTCTACAGGTTAGAGATTTCACTAGAACTTTTGACGTCGAGGTCTGCCTGTTCAAATTTTTATATTCTTTGTTCCGTTCTTTTCTTGCCAAGAGAGATACGGATGCTTATAAATCGTTGTTTTGACAGGGAACAAAAGTGTCTCTTCCTATAACATCAAGTGCTCATCATGTTGAACTGAATCTCCTCCATGTTGGAGTTTATTTAAGGCCCGTGCTCACCACACTCTTGAAAGAAATGAAAGTGGCATGTACAGCTTATGATAACGATTCTTATATCAGGAGCTACAAAGGTACAGCTTTCACCTTTTCCTCTTTGTTTATGATACTTAAGATTTTTATATAATCCAGTTCTTGTTCTTCATGATGCGGACAAAGTGAGTGCCGAGGCACAGCAGCATATTCGCTGGCTCATGGACCGCTACTCAGATTATTGCAAGTTCATGTTGCTCTGCTGCTCTCAGCCGTCTAAGCTATCCGACTCTGTTCGATTGCGGTGCATTGTCGTGGACGTACACAATCCAACAGTAGATGACGTAAGTACAGAGAAATCCCAACAGTCGTCCGTTGTTTTCCTGAATAGATTTGCCATCTTCCAGGTTGTGCAAGTTCTTTATTTCGTTGCCAAGCGAGAGAATCTGGATCTGCAAGAGCACTTTGCCTTGCGGATTGCAAAAGCATCGAAGAATTTCCGACAGGCCGTGCTATCATTAGAAGCATGCAAGCTAAAGCAGTAAGCAACTTATGATTGAAAGCTTATATTTTTTGGTTGAACTAACTTTGAGTGGTTGTTGAATTGAAGGTATCCATTTGACGAAAACCAGGTGATTGCGATCGAGTGGGAGGACGACATTGTTAGCATGGCACGGGATATCATCGACGAACAAAATCCAAGAAGGTATTATCTGTAAAATGATGTTGTATTTAACAAAATGAAATGTATTTTTTGTTTGGTAGGCTTTATAAGGTAAAAAGAAATATGCAAAAGCTTTTGGACGAGGGCGTAGCTGCAAAGCTTATCCTTTGGGTATGTTACAATGAGAAAATTAATTAATTTATTTTTGTTTTGTATTTATTTTGATAAACTAATTTTTTGTAGAGGCTTGTTGACGAGCTTATTAAGCTAGTAAATGTTTCTTTCATGGAGGAAATAAATCAATGGGCTAAGTTTTATGTAAAAGCATTTAAATTTCTTAATTATTTTCTTATAGTTTTAAATTTCAGGCAAAAAGAACTCCAGATGGAATTGACGCTATTTTAAAGCTAGAAGGTATGAAATACTTTATATTTTATGTTCATGCTCTAATTGAATGTATTTAGAATTTGTGGCCAAATTAATGAGTTTATATAAGAAATATGGTTAATGAAATACGAAAAACTACACACCACACAATACAAATACCACATGTTATATTCACTTGACAGAAACTTTAATCTACAGCCACAAGGTACAGCAATGCAAAATTGATCGAATCGATCAAAATCTATACTGTAGAAGTGCCAAATGTCACATTCTTAGAAGGCATGCCGTGATGGAAAATCTTTCAATCCACTAGAAAAATGCCATCTGGCAAAGAAAAATCTCTCATGTCCAGACACTTAATTGAAATTAGTCTCCTGTTATGGCAATAAGATGATGTGGAAAAAAGAAATAATAATTATTCTGTGCTGGCTGCTATGGCGGATTTAGGGTTGATGGAATACTGTGAGGGGTTTAGCCGGACATCTGCCAGATTCGCGTAGAATGTGAGCTCCAGAGCGTCGATTAGAGCGTGCAATAGCTGGAATTTTGTGGCAAGCAAGTAGATCTAAGGAAGAAGATCACAGAGGCGTCGCAAGATTAAAATTGGTAGCAGCGTTGCTGTGAAGAATGTAGAATCGTTTTTCTTTTGCGAGATTATTGCTCCGAGGCGAGGGGAAGCGATGATCGTCAAGTAATGGACGAGCAAGTGATGAATTTGGAGCAATCCCAGCGGCAGCAGCGTGAGTATCTTCATAGTAAGGTATAAAATTCTTTTTTGGAGAAGATCTCTCTCAACTCACACAGCACTGGATTTTGTTTTGTTTTTTTCTTCCCTTTTTTTTGGTCTTGTTCTGTTTTTCCTTTTGATCTTGGCTGGAATGCAGTCAAGTATGAGCTCTCCAGCTCCTCCTCTGCTCAACATGACTGGAACCTTTCTTTCTAATCAGATCTTGCCTCTCAAAGGGAAGTGGGAGGCTCTCCGGCAGAGGAAGCTCAACATCTCCGAATTATCCTTAGCGTAAATCTCTTCTCCCTTCCCTCCACCGTGATCACCTCTCTCTTTTGCTTTCTTCTTTTCGGGAGGAGAGCTATCTAGAGAATTTGCTCTTTGCCTCGCTGATATCTCTTGTGATTTCCAGACGGGAGAGTGACGCGAACCAAGCCAAGGAAACAGTCCGGCTCGAGTTAGACGTAGATCTAGAAATGCAAGGTAGGAGCGGTAACATTAACAGGATTGGAAGCTCTGGGGATGGAACAGGATCAGGGGTCTGGCTAGAGAATCACCACCACCACCATCAACACCACCACCATCATCAACATCACCACCAAGAACAGGAAGAACAGCCGCAGCAGCAGCAAAAGTTGGAGATCAAGAATAGCAAGAGCTTGGGAGGGGAGCTTTTCCAGCCGGCACCACCGCCACCCTGCGGCAGCTCCGCCATCGTCTCTGCCCAAGACGACGAGATGTTGTCGTGGCTGCACTACCCCATGGACGAAAGCTTCGAAAAGAGCTACTGCTCGGATTTGTTTGCCGACGTTCCTAATTCAGGCATGCAGACGTTTGCTGGCTGTAGCAGCAGCAGGCGGGCAACGATTGCTCACACGTCGCCCCCAGCCATCCAGCCGAGTGGTAATGCTCCTCCCGCCACCACCAGCAAGCTTCCAAGCGCGGAAGCCGCGATGGCGCTTGGTGCCGAGCGCGCAGCTGGGCTGAGCTCACAGGTGGGCCTCGAGGCCTTTTGCAGAGTCCGGACCACTGCCCCGATCCAACCTCCGGTTCCCAAGTGGCCTACGGCTTCGACGACGGTAACGACGACGACGGTGGCACCGGCGACTGCTACTCCGTCGTTAGCAGCCATGAATCCCGAAGTAGCAGCAGCAGCAGCAGCAGCAGCAGTCTTCGATCAAAGGCAAGCGTCAAAACCAAATTTTTCTGCGAGCTCGGCAGCCACCACCACCTTCGTTCATGAGTCCGAGCAGCAAGGATTGAAGAGAGGTTTGGTCCAGCGGAGCAGCAGCTCGATCGTGGCGGAGTCGGCTCCGCTGGTTTCTCCGCACAAAGCTGGCGATCATGCGAGAGCTGTCAAGAGAGAGCAGGCGGGATCCATGATCTCCGGGGGAGGGAGCTCGAGCTGCAAGACCAAGTCGTTTGGAAACGACGAGAGCCAGCACAAGAGTGTGGCGGGATCGAAGAAGTATGACGCGGAGCCTACCATCACTTCCTCGTCCGGGGGGTCGGACAACACGACGGAGAAGTCGGACAAGGCCGAGAGGATTGCCGAGAAGAGGAAGGCTCCACAGATGACCGAGTCCATGGATTGTCAAAGCGAGGTACGCGGAGACTTTTTCGAGGTTCTTATTGATCTTTGCGTTTTCTTGTGGCTTCCAGGACGTGGAAGCGGAGTCTGTCGACACCAAAAAACCAGCCACTCGTCCGAAGAGAAGCCGGGCAGCCGAAGTTCACAATCTCTCCGAGCGTGTACGTAACTTGTTTGTTCTTTAGTCTTGAGAGCATCCTCGACTTACACGCGGACTTTGCAGCGGCGGCGCGATAGAATCAACGAGAAAATGAGAGCCTTGCAAGAGCTCATCCCAAACTCCAACAAGGTCTTTGCACTTGATCTCTCACTGACGTTACTCTTCGTTTTTCCCCACAGACTGACAAAGCTTCCATGCTGGACGAAGCTATCGAGTACTTGAAGATGCTACAGCTACAGCTCCAGGTGCCAAAAATCGAACTTTTACATAGTTCTCACACTTTTTCCTGTTCTTGTAGATGATGTCGATGAGAAGCGGTATGAGCATGCCTCCAATGGCCATGGCCAATGGTGTTCGCCACCCACACATGCAAATCCCTCCACAGATGGCTCCGTTGCCTTACGGGATGGGGATGGGAATGGGAATGGGAATGCTGGGAGTCGGCATGAATATGGGAATGGGAATGGGGATGGGGATGAACATGGTCGACTTGGGGAGCTCGAGCACAGCAGCAGGAGCGGCGGCAGCGGCAGCTCCATTGAGACCGATCGTGAGCGAGCCGGATTCGTACAACGTCTACGTTTCTCAGCAGCAATTGCAAATTCCCGTCCAGGTAAGTAACGAAAGTTCCATTGTTTTTGTTCCACCTCGAGTTTTCTGGAGTTTTTTCACTCGTTTTTCCGTTTTCTCGTCGTGAAAATGTCAGTGTTTTATGTTTGTGCTGTTTGTTTTTCTCTTGTTCTAGGCAGGAACAAGTCACTCTCTTGGATTGCAGTGCTCTGGAAAAGATCGTCAAAAGTTCTCCTTGTTTCGGTATCTATTCTATCGTTTTGAGCTTTCCTGGTGTTGTGCTTGGTGTGTGTCCGAGCTATGGAGTTTTCTCACGCAAAATTCTCTTTTTTTACTGACTCTTTCGTGTTCTCCTGTCTATCCAGGTCATGAACAGGGAAATGTACAATGCTTACATGGTAAACCACCAACACCAACAACAACAGCAGCAGCAGCAGCAGCAGCAGCAAACTCCAACTCCAACTCCAACTCCAACTCAACAACAAAATCAACCACAGCCCGAACACCACCACCACCACCACCACCACCACCCGAGCGGGTTTTAATCCAGGAACACACTCACAAGAAGAATCACGCAATCGGTCTCCAGAATATCAGCGCTCTCTCCTCGCAAGCGCTCTCTCCAAAGACTCGTGTTCTTCGTTTGTTTTGTTGGTTGTTTTGTATGTAACATTTGTACTCTCTCCAATTTAAAAACAATTGGAAGGAAAGCTCTCTCCTTGGAGAGGTTTATGGTGTAGCTAGGGTTTTGATGGGGAAGGCGGAGGAGGCGGCGGCAAAGCGGAGGAACAAGGCCGCCAGGAAGCGCTTGCGAAGCGCCGGCGGCGCTGGATTCCACACTGCCGTGATTGCCGCCAAGCGCAGGAGGAAAGCTGGGAAGCGGCGAGTTTGCGAGGTGAGTGACAGATCCATTAGATCGATTCTTTGCTGGAAAATGCCCGCATTCTGTAATGCCAGCATTCTGTGGTGGATTGTATGTTTAGTCTGATTCGCTTCGAGGTTTTCTTTCTTCACTTGCTTGGTTTTTGGTAAGCGTTCTAGGCTTTTGCTTTTGCGAATAGATTTGTTTTTATAATAGTTTCGTGCATTGTTTTCTCGTTCTTCCTACATCTTCGACTTTCACGAACCGTGGTTGTGGATCTTTATCTTTTCGATCTTCGAATCTCTCTTTTTTTTTTTTCATACAGGGAATGTGCTACAGCCTCCCAACTCCTGAGGATCCATTCAATAACCGGTGTCTAGGAAAACGCAAGAAGAGGCGATATGACGATGAAACGATGGAGGGTTTGGCTGAAGAAGACAGTGACCTTGACGAAGGTCAAGATGGCAGTCAAGTTTTAACCGACGAAGATGATAGTTCCGAGGACGACGAAATCTCCGAAGCCAGAGAATCTGCTTCCTTGGACGAAGATGATAGCTCCGAAGAAGAAGAAGAAGATAGCTCTGGTGGGGAAGACGATACGAGAGCTTACGACAGACGGCTCCTGTCCCGGATAGCAGGTTCGTCAAATGGTGCTCGTATACTGTCCGGAGTGATTGCTAGCGTTGATAGGCAATTGTCTCGCTTTGAGACTAGCCTCTGGGAGGCTTGCCGAGGAGGTCTGGACGTCATTGGAACCGTCCAGGAGTCGACCATTGCAGCCATCGCTTACATTCCTGCAGTGGTGGACTACATTGTCAAGCAACCCTCCAAGACAAGGCTCTGTGGAAAGCCTATCGCTCTCTTTCTCGTGCCGTCTCAAGAGGAAGCGCTATACGTAAGAGACTTTGATCCTTTCGCTATGGTGTTTGTTCATCTGACGTGAGAGCGTTTGTTTTGTACAGGTAAGAAACTTGTGCAAGCCTTTGAAAAAGCTTCTGGGGCTTCAGACCATAAGCATCCACCCGGGTGCGAGTCTAGAGCACCAAGTGAAAGGGTAGGCTCTTGTTTCAATCAAGTGAAAGCTACATTGATCGCTTGTTATTGCAGGCTGGAGTCCTCTGCGTGTCAAGTTCTTGTAGCTACACCAGAGAGGCTTTGTCACTTGGTATCGAGAAAGGCACTAAACCTCTTGGATGTTTCGTTTCTGGTAAGTAAACCGTCACGACACACTGATGCTCACTACCACTTTATTTGTTTTCCAAGGTTGTGGATGGCTTGGACGAGTTGATCCGGAAAGGTTTCAAGGAAAACCTTCAGACAATTAAGCTACATACGAGCCACACAATGCAAGTTGTAATACTGAGCAGAAGTTTCAGTGGGGAAGCAATTCAAGTAACCAGATCTTACGTAGAAGATCCAGTGGCTAGAGTTGTGGAAGGCGAGTCCTTGAAGGAGCAGGGAGCATGCATCACCCAAGCCGTTAGTATAATCGTTGACGACACCAAAAAACTGCCAAAGGTACTCGTAGTTCGCTGCTAGCTATTTTCTCTTTGAAACAAACTTCTCTCTCGTTACAAGGTCGTGAGTATCCTCCAGCAACTTCGGGAAGACGATGATAAACTACCTCGGACACTAGTGGTAGCAAGAAAGCTGGAAGATGTGGTAGTGCTAGCAGGCGCCTTGAAGCGTGAGGGATTCGACAGGGCAGTGGCTTTCACCAGTGATTCAAAGAACGATCAGAACACAAGGTGTGTATCCCTTTCATTCCAGTTTAGCTAATGCATGCTCTCTTTTTCTTTTGGTGTAGCTCATTCGAACTAATGGTTTCCACCGAAAGCATAGTTGATTCTATCGACTTGAGCTGTTTCCAGAACGTTGTGAATTACGAGTGCCCGGTTTCGATCGCCAGGTACTCGAGCATCTTGTCTTCCATGGCCCGATCATCCGTCCATGGAAGCTTGCATACTTTGTGTGGGTGCTCGGCTGCTCCAATAGCACGCGAATTGGTGAACGTTCTTAAAGATTGCCACCAGGTGGTTCCAAGTGCCTTAGATATGCTAGCCAGTGCGGCTGCGGTGGTCATCAGGAAAAAGCCATAGAAATTTTTTTATCTTTCTTTTTTGTTAGATTGAAAAAAGTAAAATGCTAGCAAAATAGATTTGATCATAAACTTTTAAGGGTTAAGGGTTGGTTTACATGCTTAGATTTATGTTAAGAAAGATTATGCTTATAAATTTCTCATGCAGGGGCGTGCATGTCAACCTTCCTCCTGGGAAGCGGAGGCCGGATTGGGTAAGCTTCCGTGGCCACAGCTGTTATTTGACGCAATTGATCCAGACACGAACTTCTGAGTGACATAGAGGACTCACTTGAGGTGGCTGCTCATCACAGGGCCGTGGCAAGTCATCACTCATGTACAAGCTTGCGGATCGCATTCTTATGCATGACATGGTGCCCGTGCTGACCCTCTTGAACCATCGAATGGTGGAAGCAGCCAACAAGCATGCCAATGATTACGATGCTTTCATCCATGAGATGGCTGTGTCTCTGGTTCTCAGGAGCAACGGCAGGCTCGAGTACGATGGAAGTCCCGTCGTCGAGGGACTCTTCAAGATGCTGGCTTCTCCCGGCAGGGAGATAGTGTTCATCAACAAGGCAGAGCTCCTGAACGAGATTGCCCAGCCGGGCATGCTGTTTACGTTTCTTGTGAGGATGTAGTACATCCGAGGTCACCATACGGCTGAGTAAAAGTGCTGACACGTGGCAGATCTGGAGAGTCACCACTCTCACCTGTGTATATATAGCAATGATGATAATTGAGCAAGTATGTATAGCAATGATGATATTTGAGTGAGAAAGTTTTTCTCTTCTTCCTTAGTTTCAGCGTTTCTGTCCACATTGAAGACATGCAAAGAGAGCTGTGTGTATCGCACAAACTCCTGAAGGATCAAACTCGTGATTAAAGAGGTGGTTAGGGCAATGATGTGGATTAGGGTTTGTGAGGTGGTCTGGAGAATAAAAACGGAGCAACAGGGAGTGAGGGTTAAGCCGAGCCTCACCCCAAGTTGTTCATTACACCCTTCTTGGTATTAGAGGTAGTTTATGTGATGATTCTTGCATGTGGGGAGAGAACTAACTTCAAAAGTGTGAGTTTCTTTTATTGTTCTTTAACCCAATACTGTTGTGGCATCTTCTTGAAGAGTTGAATGTAGGAAGATGACCAATTGTGAATCTGGTTCATGATTAGGTGAATCTTTTGCAAAGCTTGAGAAGTGGAGTTAAGTTGATATTGCTAAATAAGAGAAGGAGCATACCCAAGGAAAGACATAAGTGGCAACATTTTTGGCTAATGCCAAGGGAAAAGATGCTCAAGAGGGTGGTGCAGATATATCTAGGGTTCAAAAGTGAAGAGGACATGCCCAAGATCAAGAAAAAGGAAAAGAACAAACTTTAATTGAGCAGGAGATTTTGCAAGAGGATTAAAATTAGGACAGGATAAGGCCTAGATGGCAAAGTAGTAGCAACATTTCTTTTTGAGGTGGTTTCACATCTTTCTATTGAGGAAGACCTTTCAGATGTGGGGGTGGAGGATTCTCACCATTCTCTAAAGGAGCTCAAGGTCATCATGGTACCTTTAACATGTCTTTTCAGTTGTGCCACTGAATCTCAATGGAATGGTCCCTCTCATCTATAAATGTCAATAGATTCCCACAATTTGGCTGAGAATCTTTGTGATCCCTACCATAGAGTAATCTAACAGTGAGGAAGAGTGAGATGGCTACTATCCAAGATTGACAATGTGGTGGTTTTAGAATTGCAAGAAGTACTATATGTCAATACAAAAGAAGAGGAGATGCCATAGAGATATCCCGAGGCAATGATGGAGGAACCAATGTTGTGGTCGAGCATAATCCTAATGTTTACCAGGTTGAGGACTTGTATATCCTTGTGGTTTATAATAGCATGTTTGTCCCAACTATAGCTCACAGGCTAACAATACCCTCATCTCGAAACTTTTGAGGAATGCCCAACTTTCATCTTCCAAGGCAGAAAGATTCAAGCATCTCTAGGAAGTTTAAACTTCTAGCTTTCAAGGGAGATGGCCATCCTGATAAGAATTAAGATTGGTTTACCAAATAAATGGACTAATTATGGTACCTTGCTTTGGGTTGAGACTGCTATGGCATAAGGGCTTGCTAGGGTTTGGTAGAACTCTACAACAGGCTTGAATTAGTTTAGGGCAAAATTTAGCAAAAGGTTCTTGAATTTGGATAGTTGTTAATTATTAAATGAGCTACAAGCTGAGAAGTAGAAAGAGAAGGATGATGTTTAGACATATGCAAATGCCTTGATTTAACTCGTAATGCAACTTGGACCATTGCTAGTGACAGATTGGCAATTGTATTGGTATTTTTGCTGGAATCTTCAGGAGTAAATGAAGTATTAGTTACCCCAATCTTACGCCTAAGCAACACATGAGTTTAAACTACAAGATAAATACTTTGAGGATTCAATAGAAATTCTTGATAGTGAATCGTTTAAGGAAAAGAATGGAGCATCAAAAAAACATGTAGGGAATGATGTATGGACAGATGTCAAGAATCTTGCATTAACATTAACATAGGAATTGAAAAGCTAACTCACAAAGATAGATCATCAACTTTCATTTTTCAAGATGAGGTTAGTTGACTAAAGTGGTGTACCCAACGAAACAACTAGTGCTTCAAATGTGATGAAAACCACTAAGCTTGAGATTGTCCAATGAGCCAACAACATCCAACTATCATGGTGTATATGTTGAAGAAGGTAATGCAATGCAAGCCAAGATAATGGAAGATTCTCCTGTAGGATATTTTAATCTGAATGCCAAAGAAGAAGATACTTTTGGAACATCCAAACTACATTAGGGCCTTAGGAAAAAAGAAAAAAAAAATGAAAGAAAGACAGAGAGCAAAAAAAAAAAGAACAAAGAGAAGAAAAGTGAGAAAAAGAGTGACAAAAAAGAGATGACATGTGGCACCTTTGATATTTGACATTTGGCACAAAATTAATTGTGAAAATGACTAGCAGACATGGACTTTGTTGATCCTGCAATACTATAGATGACAAATCCTTATATGTGGAAAATCATGATTTTGCAAGGGTTGTTGGAAAAATGTGAGATCCTCTTTAAGAATCTTACTGCAATTTGCATACACCCACATGAGGGATTATATTTAGAACTTGGCCACAAGTTGTGGGGCTACTGATTAGTAGATCTATGCCATAGTTATGAAAGTTTTAGGATGGAAAAGGCAAGCCTATATAAGGTAGTGGTTGTCTTTATGGGAGGATGCTTGTGAAGGAGCTATGACAAGGGATTCTTTTGACTATGTAGTTCTACCACTAAGAATGTGCCAAGATGTCTCACAACAGGTAGCAAAGGAGATTGTCAATTGGTTAGAGCTCTTCAATGAGTGGTTTTCCTAGTTGTGGGGGAACATAGGACATGCTAGGATTTTGATATAGGAGGTGTGAGGAATGGATGAGGATTGCCCTTTGACATGCATATATGAGACCTAGATGCTAGTAGAAGCATCTTGTGCACAAAGATGCTAAAAAGATGTCATCTCTGAGTTACTTGTGGAAAATGGGCAACTAAAAATTGTCTCAACCAGGTAGAGGCTCATGATAAAGTTCGATTGCATGCATGCATTAGTGAGTTGGAGTAGTAGTTTGAGGCTTTAGTAGTTCAAGTGAGGGAATCTGAAGAGGTTAAGTGAGAGATTGAAAAGATATTCATTGTAGAGCGTCAAATTAGGAGGAAACATAGGAGTTTGAGAAGCAAATATTAGAGACAAAAATGCTTCTCAAGGTATCTATGTGCAACTTAGTAAGGGATCGTGTCCACGTAGCAAGAGCTAAAGATGCAATTCGGAAGAAGAATCCTTCAAAAGTGGTTTCCTGTGAACTAGTGCTATGGGTTTGAGGTTAGTGTAGCAATCGAGATTCCAAAGGGGAATCTTTCTAATAAGACTTTATATGACAGGATTAAAGGTGTGCTAGTGGAAATTCCATAAGGGAATCCACCAATATGTAAGGTCAAGGGTAAAAGTGGTACAATTGTACTACACAAACTCATGAAGGATCAAACTCATGATCAAAGGGGCAGTTATAGTGAGGTCCTGAAAATCTCGGAGCTGGAGAATAAAAGCAGGAAGTAACAAGGAGTGAGGGTTAAGCCAAGCCTTACCCTAGGATTCTGCATTTAATAGCATTTCTTAAAGTGTGCTCTAGAATAGAGAGTGTTTTGTTTTTTATGAGCATCTTGAGTGTGGCTTGGATTGGAATGTGTTCACATTTGTTTTGTGGATATAAGTTCTTTTATTTGAACAATAAGTGTGTTTTTATTAGTGTCCCAAGTATTTTAGAGTGAGTGTGTTTAAAAATCATGTTTTGGCATCTATAATGTGCTATAAGGGTAGGTCACATGCACACACTTGTTTCACATCATGAGGTTACCACTGGCAAGTAGAGGGCAACTAAATTGTGTCAGTAAGAGATTAAGGAAGCATCATCAAGTTGATATGTTAAATATTCCATGTTATATGGCTTAAGTGGTGAATTTGTTCATTGCACCCTTCTAGAGTAGTATATATGTGTTTAGGACCAAGGGTTATAGTCTATACTTCCTGCAAAGCTTTGTTCTGGTTGGCATAAACAAGATGAGCTTGCTTCTACAGCCAAGCCAGATTGCTAATTCCTATGTTTCAATGAGCCTAACCCGGTGTTCAATCTTTGTAGAGTTAAAACTCAAATAACACTAAAATGAGCAAGTATGGAGAACCATGGACTCAGCTCCAATATTAATTATCACAACCATCTGGAAGTTCATCTTCCTTAGCACCAACATCATTCTAATGTTACTTTTTATTATGCTCCCTAGGGCATTTTTTTGTATTTTCTCTTCCATTAATTAATCATATTTAGTTAAACAAACCGTAGATCTTGTATTTGGTTTAGCCCCTTGTGTTGAGGTGTAGAGGACATCAGAATTTCTTCTGGTTGGGGACTGACGATCAACATGAGTTTGGTGTTGAGTTCAGGAACAGGAATGGAGTGCAGCAAATGTGGACAAGGTGATCTTGACATTGGCCACCAGCATTCACTCCTTGATGAGCAGTCACAAGGGAATGACCAGCAATCTTTGCTGCCCTGATTCTCCAGCTCTAGGACTTCTCTCGTCCATTTCTTGTGGAGACTGATGCATCAGATGCAAGCACGGGGGCGGTGCTCAGACAGGAGCAAGGGAGAGGAGAGAGTTGGTGCATTTCAGTACATGAGGCCAACCTGCCAGGTTATGAGCAAGAAATGCTTGCGGTCATCCACACTATCGAGAAGTGGTGTCATGATCTCTTGCCGACTCGTTTCACGCTCTGCACAGACCATTACAGGATCAAATTTTTGCTGGAACAACAGCAGCTCAACATCGGGACGTTTGTTTTGCCCGGCCGAAATTCGATGGATAAATCAAAAGCTTGAAGCTTTTCAATCCAGCGCCTCTGTTTCTTGCACTGTCTTGCATGTTCGAGAAGCCAGTGTCCCAGCTTCTTACAGGGATATCACGTCGTTCAGCAGCGGGTCGTCAGTTCGCGTCAATTTCCATGGATTTCGTCTCAGGATTGCCAAGATCTATATATGGTGGTGGTGGACCTCTTCACGAAGGTCAGCCACTTCGTCCCATTAACGACCACAGCAAACGCTCAGAAGGTGGCAGAGCTTTTCTGGAAGGGGATAGTCCGCTACCGGGAGATTATCTCTGACAGGGACTCCAAGTTCCTCGGCAAGTTCTGGAGATTGTTGTTTGAGGCCGTGAGGACAAGGTTGAGTTTTAGCCTATCAAACAGGTAGACTTAGAGGGTGAATCACACAATGGAAACGTTCCTTCGTGGATATTTTTTGGACAGACCGGGCAATTGGGTGAAATGGCTGCCTTTCGTCGAGTTTGCTTACAACTCCATGCAACATGCTTCCCTGGGAATGTCTGCGGCAACGTGGTGTCGACCTCTGTCCACGGTAACAAGACTGGCCAACCATATAACGCCTCGAAAGGAGGATGTAGAGGAGCATCTCTGAGAAGTGGAAGAAGAATAGAGACTGGCAAAGCAAAGGCTTGAGTCGGCATAAACTACCATGCGGTTCTTTGTGGACCAAAATCGATCATACAAGCAATTTGAGCCAAGAGATTACATTTATGTCAAGTTCTGCCCAGAACGTTACACCCTGGGCAAGCAGGCTTAAGGAAGAGCCAAGTTGCAAGCCTGCTTCTTCGGTCCTTTCAGGGTGGTGCAAGTAATTAATGAATTGGCCTACAGATTGCATCTTGCAACAACAGCAAGGATCCATGATGTGTTCCACCTGAGTGACCTCAGCGTCATCACAGGGAGTTGCCTTCAATCCAAATGCTAGATCAGGGGAGAACAGGTCCTCTTGTTCCGGATAGGGTGGTGGAAGTCCAGGAATACGGAGCACACTCTGGAGGACCAAAGTTCTTTGAGCAAGGATAGGGACCGAGTCTGACTATGATACAGCGGATGGTTATATGAAGAGTAAAGCAGATTCTCTATACTCTCCTCTCCTTCATCTTGTCCACCTTCTTCTCTCCAGTCTCACTCCGCTTGCTTGGTTAGTCTCTTTCGTTGTCCAAGGAGCATTTCCTCCCTTCTCATTCCTCTTCTTTGAATATAGCTGTGCAGCTCACACTTTTTTGACTGAAAGTTGTTTATGATAGAGCAGCGCTTGAATCAACGCCGTCTTCCAGGCCACGTGGCAAAATATTCACTAGTCAGAGAGAGTTTGACGGAGGCTGCATAGAAACAGAAAGCAAGTCGTTTTGCTCAGAATGGAGCTCTCACTCCATCCATGTGTTCTCGCTTCGAATAGATGCCACTGCCACTGTATAAAAACAGAGACCCACTGCCTCCTCCAACACCTCGCTTCCTGATCTTCTCAAACAGCAATGCCCAAGCTTGTGCTTATCCTGTTCTTCCTTGTGGCCGCTGCGGCGCAGTGGAGAATCTCCATCGCCCAGCAGCAGTCCTGCAGCGACTGGACCCAGCTCCTGGATTGCCAGAACGCGGCCAGCGATCCAAGCGCCACCCCGTCTGGCGAGTGCTGCAATAGAATCCGGCAGTACCAAAACGCACCGGACTGCCTGTGCACCATGCTCCTCGCGGCACGCAACGCAGCGCAGTCCACCGGGTTGCCGTTCAATCTCCAGGCCGCGCTCTCCATCCCGGCCAAGTGCCACGTCCAAGTTCCATCCGGCTACTCGTGCGCTGGAATTCCCATTCCATCTAGCTAGAAGAACAGAAAAAAAAAAAGACAGTTAGCTAAGCATAGCTAGAGAGAAATCTAGGAAAAGAAAATTATGGAAGAGCTTCTAGAGAGCAAGAGAGAGAGGGAAGGGAAGAAATCCGTGTGTAGTGCTATGACTGTGACCAGAGATAAGAGAGGGAGAGAGAACAAATTCATGCAATAAGATAACTTGACTTGCCTGTGCCATGATCGTCGCCTTTCTTGTGACGCCGAGAAAAGCAGTACCTTATTCACGGGATGGTGTACTCATCGAGATTTCCTCGCACCGATCTACGCCAGAAGCCCTCTCCATGTCGATCAGTATAAGAGCGAGCTTCTAGGCAGTGAGATCCATCGGGCAGCTCTTCTCTCGATCCCCATTCTTGAATCTCCCCTTCCCTCTCTCCTCTCCTCTAGCAATATTTCGAGCATCGATCGAGCAATGGCGCCGCCTCGATCCGGAATCGCGATCCTGCTCATTGCAATCCTGTGCATCGCGCTCCTCCCGGCAGATTCCAGCGCCCAATCCTGCACGAATTACCTCACCCTGGCGAGCTGCATCCCCGCCGCGGTCGGCAACACCGCTCCGACCGCGAATTGCTGCTCGCTGATCCAGAAATACGTGAAGAAGCCGGCGTGTCTGTGCACGCTCGTCCAGAGCGCCAAGAAAGCCATCCCTAGCATCAACATAGCCAAGGCGGTGATCCTCCCCAAGAAATGTAACTTCGGGAAATACGTGCCCAAGAACTACAAGTGTGCTGGTAGGCGAATTCTCCTCCTTCTCTCTCCAAATCGATGGCTCACCGTGCTCGATCTTGGCAGGGGTTCCGGTTCCCCGCGAATAAGGAATGGCGATCTTCACCGCTCATCTCGACCACCATTCCGCTCCATAATAGCCCACCAGATGTGGAATGTACTACGCCCTCGCTTTCCTAATACAAACCTCTCGTTTGCCCTATATTTTCTTCCTTGAGAACGCTCTATCTATGGCGTCGAGTGCCGCCGCGGCCAATGCCGGGGTTTTGAGTCGCGTAAGGACGATTCGGTCGTGGAAGCGCCACGGCGAGCGCTTCTTGCACAGGAAGCCGAGTAGGAAGGTGTGCGTGGTCCAGATCGAGAGCAAAAAGAGGGAGCCGAGGCAATTCTGGATGTCCAGGGATCGATTGGCGCCAGGTATGTGATGAAAGATCGCTCGCGCATTGCAAGGAATTCCTAGCGTTTCATTCATTTTCCATTTGCTCGGTGTGGATGGAAGTTTGAAATTTCTGAGCTTGATCATATGTAGTTGTATTTTTCTGATGCTTTGGATGAGCTTTCACGCACGTTGAATGCGAATGAGTGACTAGCCCTGGATGAAACTTTCAAGCACGATATGAATTTATGCGAATGGAATAGACTGTAGTGATTTCTCTGGTCTCATGAGCTTGGTCTCATGTGTTGTTTACATCCATTGCTCTCAAGCAGCGACTTTGCTGGCGGACTTCCAGATCCAGCCAGAAAGTGTTGGTTTCCTTACAAGGACGAGTTTAACCTGGACGAGCAAACACGCATCAGCAGCGAGATGGTGATCGGAACCCTGGATCCCATGTTTGCGGCCGATCGCAAGCAAAAGTTTGATCAGATCATCGCCAACAGGACGTTTTCGATTTGTCCGGTGGTCGAAGGCTTGTTCGACATTGGCAACATCTGTGCCGTGTTTAGAACCGCCGAGGCATTTGGACTCCAGTCGGTACATGTGATCGCTAACAGTGATCAGAAAAGGTGAGTTTCTCTCTGTTATTTTCTTTCTTTGTTCTCACGCGTGTTTTATTTTGGTAGATACAAAGAAGCTCGCAACATAAGCATGGGAGCCGAGAAATGGCTGGATGTGGAAGTGTGGGAGAACACAAACGAGTGTGTACAAGTGTTACGGAGTCGAGGATATCGGATTGCTGTGACTGATATGGGGGCGGACACGGTAAGCTTGAGAAAGCTCGTCACTCTATTCTATACGTTTTAACAGGTACCTATACACGAGCTGGACTGGACGATTCCAACAGCAGTGATCTTTGGAAACGAGCACAAGTATGGAAAGAAAGTGGTATTTGTTTTTCTTTCTTAATCGTTGAACGTTTTTGAGCAGTGGAACAAGCGAAGAAGCTCTTGCATTAGCGGACGTGAAGTGCCATATTCCGATGGTAGGAATGGTCGAATCATTTAACGTCTCTGTTGCGGCGGGGATCCTCATGTATCACATCGTCGGCGACCGGCTTGAAAGAACTGTAAGTGGTTCCAAACTAGCTTTTGCTTGCATCGGTCTTACAGCTCTTGCAGGGAATTCACGGCGATTTGAGCTCCGAGGAGCAGCAAATCCTTCGTGCCGAGTTCTACCTTCGAAACAAGCGCAACGTGAAGGATGTGGTGAACCACCTGCTTAAGAAAGAGCTCGTCTTGACTTAACACATCCGAAAGGGATGCCAATTCATTCAGGGAAAACAGTGAATACAAAACAAAAAGGAAACTTTGCTCAATACTTTCATACCTATACCGTGTAGTTTTGCTGGACTGCGAGATCATCCAGACCTTTCAACTTAGCGACTGCTTCGACATGCGCTTTAACCACGTGAAGGTCTTTCAATCTGTCACAGACAAAAACGGTGATCAGTGAACTTAAAGATAACTGTAAAGCTAAACGAGAAGAGCATATAACTTACGGAACAAAGAAACAAAGCACGAAAGGAAAACCAACCTCGCAATCTCGGCTCTCTTCATGGCTTTTTCCGCAAGATCGGCAGGCCCAGCAACACCAGCAGCCCCAGACTGAGATAGCCTCTGCGTCATTGGAGCCGCGGCATGGCCAGATATAACAGCCCATTGAGCTTGCCGCGCCTCACGGCCATAGTTCTTCTGACGAGTGAAAGCGATCTTCCTCTCGGTGAGAAGGTCCCACATTGCTCCACTCAAGATGTATCTCACCAAAAACTTGATAATATCCAAAGGGAAGTACCAGACGACGCTGCAAAGCAATGAGACGAAGTTAGACACGAAGAAAACAAGGAAGAACTACGCTTGCGAGCTTTACCTGTACAACCATACCACTCCGGCCCAGCCCCAGCCGCAGCCTTTGATTCCTGCAAATCCCCAGTCGGCATAAACTGCGATCAGCGTCGCCACCAGCTGAGCAACAAGGAAGGCGACGATCAGCATCGCCCCGGGTCTCTCCAAAAACGAGAAGCTCCGCGACCGAGTGACGAAGATGAGTGCCTGACTGATCACGCTGACTTGCAGATAGATCACAGCGGTTTCCTGTTTGACGTGGCCCGAGATCAACCTCACCGAGAAGTGGTCTTGGAAGAAGTTCGTCTCGTGTATGAGCCAGTAGAAAAGGACGGACATCAATCCGAGGTAGGTCCCGAGGCACGAACCGAGCACAAACAACTCCGGGAGCTTCCAACTGTCTGGTTCCATGGATGGTTTCACTCTATCCTGCAAAAAACGTGAAGTTAGACCGAGCAACAGAGTCCAGCGCGGGATTTAATTACCTTGCGACATTATTAGCTTGGAATTAACGGGTGGAGCGATTCCAGAACGTACTTTCGAGATTGTCATGATGGTACCGTCGTTGAGGATGGCTATGATAAGCGTCATGAACGGGGAAAACTTGAACTTCCAGATCAGCGCCATGAGCAAGAAACCGAGGACGATACGAATGGTGATTGAGATGGCGTAGATGGTGTAGTTCTTCATGCGCTGGAAGATGCAGCGGGACGTCAAGATAGCATGGATGATGACGCTCAAGCCTGCAAGCCGCATTTTGTTAACATAGGATCGAAAGAAGAAAAACAAAGAACTTACCAGGGAGTGTCAAGACAATGTCAGCGGCGTTACGAGCAGCATCCGTCGCGTCGGCCACAGCAATGCCGATATCAGCTCTTTTCAGAGCAGGAGCATCGTTCACTCCATCGCCTGTCATGCCGCAGATGTGTTTTGCTTCCTGTAACTTCTTGACGATGTTATACTTGTGCTCTGGAAAGACCCCTGCAAACCCGTCTGCGTGCTCTATGAGCTCCCCTTCGTCCGCACTGGCCAAGCTTGGGTCACGTCCAGCCCCGCCGGGAAATAATGCAGTGACTGGATACATGTTGGTCCCCATGCCCAGCCTTCTCCCAGTTTCTTTGGCGATAGCTAGCTGATCTCCAGTTATCATCTTCACGTTCACTCCAAGCTCTAGAGCTCGCTTCACTGTGTCCGCGGTATCGTGGCGGGGCGGATCGAAGAGTGGAACGAGGCCCAGCATGTCCCAGTCGCCACCTGGGCTATCCTTATCGTTGTCTGGAACAGTCTGCTAAAGACGGTGTTAAAAGGTGGTAGATTCATTGTGAGAACTATCAGCGTACCTGCGTCGCCACAGCTAGAGTTCTCAAGCCCCTCTCCGCGAACTTCTCAATGATATCATGCACCCGGCGTCCAATTTGTTCTTTGTTGTAGGCCAAGTCGAGAATCTGCTCGGGAGCGCCCTTGGATGCACGATGCATTTGTCCTTGTGTGTCCAGGTAAGTCATTTGAGTACGCTTATCAGTTGGATTGAATGGCATGAAGTGTATCTCTTGAATTCCTTCCCTTGCTTCTTTTGGATCTCCAAGCATGTTTACAATGGCGAGGTCGATAGCATCCTGTAAAACAGCATCCTTATAGCACACTGAAAACTTCTAACCCGAGTATAAGTTACCTGGTTCTCCACGCGAGACGCTCTCGACGCATGAAGTAAGATCGTATCTTTGTCCGCCTTATCCGAAAAGATCTCTATGAGATTCTTGTCAACCGTAAGCCTGTTCAACGTCAGAGTTCCTGTTTTGTCCGAGCACAAGATATCCATGCCCGCCATCTCTTCAATAGCCGTCATCCTTTTAACTATCGCTCCCTGCTTAGCCAGCCCGTGGGATCCTACAGCCATTGTGATGGAGAGCACAGTTGGCATGGCGATGGGTATCCCTCCTATAAGCAGAACCAGCAGCGCATCGATTCCATCCCTGTACTTCCAATGCTGGCACGGGTACATGACTATAATCTCGATGATCATCCCCAGCGCTATCGAGACGATGCAAAAGCTTCCAATTCTCGTAAGAACCTTTTGAAAGTGTCCCATTCGCTGAGTGCTGTCTACGAGGTGTGCTGCTTTCCCAAAAAACGTGCTCACACCAGTTGCAATCACCACTGCTTCGATCTCCCCCTGCTTACAAATGGAACCCGAGAAAACTTCGTCACCTTGTCTCTTGGTCACTGCCACGGATTCACCTGTGAGAGCGGACTGATCGATCGAAAGAGGGTCTCCTTCCAGCAGGCGGCAGTCAGCTGGAATGATATCACCAAGCTTGATAGTTATGATATCTCCGGGAACAAGGATAGAGGCGTCTTCTTCCTCGTACTTCCCATCTCTTAGAACTTTAGCTTTGAGTGCCAGTGCCTGCATCAAAGCCGCGGCGGCCTGCCCAGCGTTTTGCTCTTCGATATAGCTCACGGTCGAGTTGATGAAGAGAAGAACAACGATTCCTACAAAGTCCTGCCAGTCGGGCGGCCTTCCGTCTCCATTGGCCAGGATGATAGCCATCAAAGCCGCGATCTCCATCACCCAAGACAGTGGATTCCACATAAAAGTGAGGAACTTAAGCAGTAAATTCTCCTTCTTCTCCTCCAACTTGTTGGGACCAACGAGCTTGAGCCTGATCTCAGCTTCCACCGTGCTAAGCCCATCCCTGGTGCACTTAAGCTTCTGGAAAACCTCCTCCAATGGAATGTGCTCCAAATCAGCACTACTGTCCTGTGAGAATTCCCCGCTCGCCCTATTGTCCGCTGTTCTAGTCTCCTCGTCGATGGCGTCATGATAGAACTCGCGGCTCTCGATCCTGGCCATTGGAGATTGCGGCGCTCACATTTTGGAAAACCCTACCGGCGCATTGCCTACTCCGGAGAAGCCATCGGAAGATCTGAAACGCGCGATCCCCGACTCACCGTCATTGCCGATCGCGCTCCATCGCCATCGCCACCGCCAAGCGAGATTTCATGCCTGACGCTAACTGTGACCTGGCAAATCTAGCCCGTTAATTTTGAAACCGCGAAGATCGGCACATCTGGACCGTCCGTGGGCAGGGTTCTCTCAATCATCCATTTTAAGAAAAATCTGACGTGGGATTTAGACTGGACGCTTTTGTACGGCAGACAGTATGACCTCAAAACTCGATCGGCGGGTAACTAGAATGCTGTGGCCATTTGGACACGGCCTTCCCGCTTCCCGCCATGTACGGATGGGCCAATTAAAATGACGGGCGATTTGAAATAAATGACGGGGCGTGACGGTTTCCCATTTTTGATAAAACAAGGAAGCGAAGAAAGACGAGGGTTTGCGCAGTGGTGGGAAGAAGTCATATTAGGGTTGATGGAGCGGCTGTGAGGGCGCTCCAGCGAGCAGCCGGGACGGGGGGCGCGCCGCGCGCGCATTTTCGGTGAGGTATGGCGGCCACAGTGGACACGAAAAAGATCGTTCAATTGGGGAAGAGGCTCGGCGAGCTCCAGCTTCCCTCTTCCAAGGATGCGCTGCTCAAGCTTCTCAAGGTGAGTGCTCTTGCTCCGCGCCGGCGGCGGCCTTCTTGCTGGGTTTTAGGTCTAGCGCGGGCGTCGCTCACGAAATTCCGTGCGTCCCTTGCAGCAACTCTCGGCGCTGCTGCCTAATGTCGATCAATCCGCCTCAGAGGAGACGCGGCGGGCTCTGGCTCCTTGCAAGGATGCGCTGGTGAGAGCGGAGCTGCTACATCACAAGGATAAGGAGGTGAAATTGTTTGTGGCGACATGCGCTAGCGAGATTTTGAGAATTGAGGCTCCTGATCTTCCTTACAACGATGATGTCCTTAAGGTATTTGAGCTTGTTGTGCCTTGAGAGCTACATATCTCATGTGTTTCCTTTTTCTTTTTCCAGGATCTGTTTGAGCTCATTGTCAACACGTTCAAAGGACTCAGTGACATGCAAAGCCCATTATACCAAAAACGGGTACACATACTGGAGACGGTGTCTGCCATCAAGTCCTGTCTGCTATTGCTGGATATTGACAATTGCGACGATGTGATTCTGGATATGTTCAAAACTCTCTTTCAGGAAGCCAGGTTTGTTTTTCTTTCTTTTCTGCGAGGCAAATTTATCGCTCGTTCTCAGGGATGATCATCCGTCTAATATCCTTAGCGCGATGCTGAACATCATGGCCTTGCTCGTGAAGGACAGTGATAACTACCCGAGGCCTTTGGTAATGGAGATTGTTTCAAATCTCGTGAAGAGCAAAAAGGTAAACGACAATTTTCGTTGTTTTATAATTTGAAATTTCTCAAACTTCATGTCTACAGACATCGGCCGCTGCGAGCAAGGTGGCTTCGGAAGTTATTCGAGAAAATGCACAAGAACTGGAGCCTAATGTGATTGGACTGCTGAATACAGTTCATGAGCAATCAGCTGATCCTTGGTTACAACAAAATTACTACGAAGTCCTATTTGAAATCCATCGCTGCGCTCCCAAGATGTTCCTGGCATATGCACCGACCATTGTCGAAGGTCTTGTGGTATGTCATATTGCACTTGTATAACGTTAATGATTCGATTTCATTTTTATGCAGAACGGGGATGAAACTATACGAGTGAAGACAGTTGAACTTCTTGGAAGAGTTTTTAGCTCCCAGGGTCAGGCTGTCGACAAACAGCTTGTTTCAGAGTTCATCAAGAGAATCACTGACAAGTCTCTGAACGTAAGAGTGGCAACAATGCAGTCTGCAAGGGATTGCTTTGACTCTCTTGGTGCGGATGCTAAGGAGATCATAGGTGAAACACTAATTCTCGCAATATTTCTGTATTTACCTGTTTCTCTTTGCAGAAAAACTGGAGGATAGAGTACAAGATACCCATGATCAAGGAAGGATGAAAGCTGTGACAGTGATCTGTGATATCGCCAAAACAAATCTTGAATCTGTCCCAATGAAAGTACTTCACACGGTTGCAGATAGGCTGCGAGATACAAAGGTATTTATAGTCTCAAAGTTCAAAAGCTAATACGATGTCATGCAGGCAGGCACTAGGAATTTGGCTATGCAGAAACTTACCAATGTCTACGCTACACACTGTGGTACTCCGGAATCTGAAAAGCTTGAGTGGATTCCCATTAAAATTTTGAAGTGCGTAAATCTCAAGGAGTTCAGGTATTTTTCCTGCTTGTTTTCTCTTTCGCATCGGTTTCCTTTTCATCCAATTATTTCCCGCAGACCTCATGGCATTGAATTAGCTTTTAGTGAAGAACTTTTTTTACCTGAACTTCCAGTCAGTGAGAGAACGAAGCATTGGATTGCGATGTTTTCTCAGTTTGAGGGTAACGATGTCAAAGGTTTGGAACGGGTTCTCAGTGCGAAGCAAAGGTACGCTTTTTTTCGTTTTTCTCTTGCAGTTTTCACAAAGTGGCCGATTTCTCTTTGTAGGTTTCAGCTGGAAATGAAGGAATACTTGCATCTACGTCAGGATTTGAAGGTACTAGTTTCTACCTTTATCTAATGTTCTGACGGAGCTTCGTGGTTTTAGGAGGAAAACTCTTCTGAGCTCGAAAAGAAATTGCAGGACCGCTTCAAATCTATGGCAGAGACGTTTGATGAAAAGGCAGAGGAAAGTCTTGCAAAACTTCATCAGATGAAGGATAATTCGATTTTTAAGAGATTGCTGACCTTGCTGGAGCCAAGTACACCATATAGTGTTTCACGCTCTATCTGCGTAAGGCGAAAGTAAGCTATTAGTCCCGTTCTGATGATCTGGTTTCTGTCTGTAGGATGATTTACTGAGCACAATCGGTGTCAAGCATCCACAATATGAATTCCTGCGGCTTCTGGCAGTACGATGTTCGTTTTTACTATTCGGAAGAGAGCACGTTGCCGCAGTATTAGACGAGTATGAGACTTTCAAAGATTCTGGAAACAAAAATGCTGTTTCTTCGTGCATGAATTTGCTTCTGGTAAAGTCTTTATTTGAGAATTTATTTTCATTGTTTTGTCTAACTTGCTTGAGTTATATACAGGTTTTTTCCCGATATTTTCCTGAACTGATGGACGGTGTCCAAGATAAGATTTTCAATCTTCTTAAAGACAGCGAGGATGATGCCGTTAAGAACGCTGCACTTCAAATTATTTCCAGATCCGGTCACTGCTTGCGGGAGAAAATCGTGGACTCCAGAAGGTAAGGTTCAGTCAGATAGATTTTGGAATTCATTTTGTTTGCAGTTCCATTGATTTGACTCTCGAGACGTTTTGCTTGGAGGGAACACGTGAGCTTGCCAAGAATGCAATATCTGCCATTACGGCTTTGTCATCGGATGCTGGGCTTAAAGCGTTATCGGTTCTGTATGGGGTATGTAGCTTCGATCGGTAACATTTTGTTTTTCTAATTCTCTTTATTTTTAGCATCTATTAAAAGCCATGGAGAGTAAAGCGCATCTTCCAACTGTTTTACAGTCTTTGGGTTGTATAGCTCAAACTGCAATGCCGGTGTTTGAGACTAGGGAGTCCGACGTCGTTCAATATGTTTTAAAAGATCTACTTCCAAGAGAACGGTCCGAGGTCCTAAGTTTTAGCGATATTTTTGTTGTGCCCGTTTTCTAATATTTCTCATTGTAGGATTCAACTAAATCAGATTGGGACAGCAGGAGTGAGGAATGCATGCTGAAGGTGCGTATTATATTTTTACGTAGATTGTCGTTTCCTAAGTGTTTTATCTTAATTCGCAGATATATGGTCTCAAGGTTTTGATTAAAAGCTACCTCCCAAATAAAGATGCAAATTTGCGTCAAAGCTCGTTAAAAACTATCCAACCGGTTTTGTTGAATCTTCTTAGATTCGGATCAATCAACGAGGAGTCGAAGTCGAGGTTTACTGCACGAAGCGCTTTTCTTTGGCTGCTAATTCTATTATTTTTTTCAGTGACATTGATAAGGCACACATGCGGCTTGCAGCTGCTAAGGCTTTTTTGCGTCTTTCTCGAATCTGGGACAAAGAAATCCCTGCTGCCACTTCTCGGTTTATAATGATGACAGCGCAGGTAAATTTCTGATTGGCTATCACCTTACTCACTGTCATTGCCACAGGATCCAGTTTTTGATGTACGCCAGAAGTTTTTGCTGAAAACCCATCAGTACTTGAAACTTCAACGTTTGCCTCACAAATACGCCATCGTGTATCCTTTGTACTCGGTGGATTCAAGAAAAGATATCGTACAGGAGGTAATGTGTAACATAAATATTTTATAGGCTTTTGAATTCTTGTTTGTAGGCTCAACGTTACATGACTGACTTTATCGACAATACTCGTCGCAATGTCGCTCGTCTCAAGAGCAGTGAAGGTTTAAACGTCCATCCAGAATACCACTTGACGTCCTTGATTCACGTTCTCGCTCATCATCCACAATTTCCGGATCTGTCCTCGTCTGAGACCGCTCCATATGAACCTTTCTACAAGTATGGTTTGATAATCAGTGTGTTGACTTCTCACACCAAGCTGCAGGCAGATTTACTCGTACATTCATGCATTGCTTGGGCAAGAGACGGATGTGAAAAGAGAAGAAAATAATTTGGCTGCGGTTCTGGAAATATTTCGTCGTATAAAAAACACGGAGGATGCAAATGTTCCAGCGGCGACTCAGGTATTCGCGTCATTGCATATTCACTGATAGAGATTACTTGCAAATGTTATGTAGAACCTGTACGCTCTTTGCGACATCGGTCTCCACATAGCGAAGGACCTGTCGAAACGTTCACCGGAGCCTTACAAGGGAGATGTACGTCTGCCTTCAAACCTGTATAAACCCGTTGATGAAGACAGCTTAAAGGTTGGTACAAGCGGTTTTTGTGATTACTTATCAATTGCTCTATACTTCTAACAGGAGGATGGCAGCAATATGCCGTCGGCCTTGACATCGACTGTACTGAATCGTTTTCGATCTTCAATGCCCAAAGGAGCTCAGGTTAAAACTTCGATTGTTCTTTACAGCATCTCATGGCTCTTTTTCATGTTTGGAAAACCAGCGGGGACAGAAAAGAGCAGAAGGATCAGATGACGACGAGGATGAGGATCCCTTACCACGGAAAAGCGGTCCTGCTGAAACTAAGAAGGGTAAAGGAAAGACTCCGGCCCGCAAAGGTAAGGAGAAGGAAGCGGAAAGCATGTCAGAAGACGACGGTGATGATGCTCCCAAGAGAAAACGGGGAAGGCCAAGTAAAGAAAAGCAACAGGAAGACACTCCTGGACAGAAGAAGAGAGGGAGGCCAGCCAAAAAGCAGAAGGTGGAGGTAGACTCTCCTGCTACATCTGCGGATGCCAAAGGCCAGACTCCGAAGTCTATTGCCAAGAAGGAAAAAGAGAAGGAGAAACAGAAGGTAAATAGTGAAGTCGTTGTTCTATCTGTGGGTTTTATGAACTTAAAAACTCAGGACGATGGTGCTAGCACTACGAAACGGAAAAAGCAAGCTTCTCATAAGGTACTTTCCTTTTACAAGGGATAGCTTGACTTGACATGTAACTTATCAATAGCCCGGCAAAAGTGAAAGCGAGGAAAAAGAACCCGAACCCCATCTAGGCCGAAGGGTCAAGGTGTGGTGGCCAGACGATAAGAAGTAAGTTAGGCGAAGTTGATGTCCTGTAATGCTTATGGATCGTATTCAGGTATTACCGTGGAGTTGTGAAGTCGTATGATGCGAAAAGAAAGAGACACCACGTAAGTGATTAAAGGAGATTCACCATGGCTAACTTTTCTCTCGTTCGTATGTAGGTGTCCTATGACGATGGTGATAGAGAGACGCTGGATATGAGTAAAGAGCGTTGGCATTACGTAGATGGGAAGGAGAAGGAGGTACGCATGATTTTGGTTCCGTTCGGGAATGACTAACGATTTTTTTTCTTAATTGCTTTTGTTTTTTCTCTTGTAGGACACCTCTCCATCGCCGCCACCTAGGGAGTATGTAGACGTTTCCATGCGCTGTGAAAAGCTAACCGTGTGCTTTTAACTACAGGCAAGCGAAGGCGAAGAAGAGGACGAGCGAAGGGAGCTCCCAGAAGTAAAGCCGCGTGTTGATCGTTAAGAGTTTCTCATCGTCTGGCATTTCGCAGGAAACCGAAGGGCAAGAAACGGACGCGTGATAGTGACGACGAACACCACCAATCTGAGAACGAGAAAAGACCAAAAGGTGGGATTTTTCTACTCGCCCTTTGTTTTTAACACCGGGCTGGACTGTGTAGTGAATGGGAGCAACGCAGCAGCAGTAAATGGGACTGCGGAAGCCGAGAGTTCACAAAGGGATGCGTTGGGAGACACGGATGATGACGAGCCTCTTGTAAGATCGCTAAATATTTCCTAGCTCACGATTGTTATGATCTCTTTTCTCGCGTGTCTCTAGGATTCTTACCGCAGGCGAATGAAGAAACACGATCGGCAGCAGCAGGACAAGGTTGCGGCCGCTGTGTAGAGATCGAGAATGGATGAGAGAGAGCTCGAGGCGAAATAAGGCCCTCCAAAAATTTGTATAATCACCCCACCATTTTACTCTAGAAAAGTAGAAAGCAAATGGCTTGCACGATTTCTTTCTAGGTTTTAATGTTAAATTGTCGTTTTAATATAATTAGTGAAGTTTAAAAGTAGAAGATCACAACCGTTCGATTAAAGAAATCTTTTATAATATATTTTTGAAATATTGTACTTCTATGTCATTCATGCTAACCTAAATTAACAAAAATGGTAAACCTAAGAAGTTTTAGCCTTTTAAAATTTTGCAGTGTGAACACCTAGAGGTCTACTTTATCCTGTGGGTCCCGTTTACAAGCTGGCTACGAAAGCTCCCGCGCGTCGCATATCCTTCGTATCCCCGCGTCCAAGTTATATACCACCACAACCAAGACCTTTGGAGGCTACTCTCCTCCCAATCCCCAGTCCCCAACTCCGAAAGAAATTCACGCGCCATCTCTCCTCTCCAAATATCCTCCTCCGCTCCAACTCCAGTCGCAATGGCAGCAGCAGCAGTGATGCTCCTCCTCGTAGCACTTGCATTCTCGCCCAGCACCACAAATGCCTACGATAGTGATCCCCTGCAGGACACCTGCGTCGCCGACCTCAAATCCAAGCTCTCCGTCAATGGATACCCTTGCAAGACATCCCCTCCCAGCGCGGCCGACTTCGTCTTCAAGGGCCTCGCCACCCCGGCCAGCACCAACAACGCCAATGGCCTGGGGGCCGTGTTTGGGGTCGTCCAGGCCTTCCCGGCTCTCAACACCCTCGGCCTGTCCATCGCGCGCCTGGATTTCGCCAAGGGAGGCCTCGTCCCGCCACACACGCACCCGCGCGCGTCCGAGCTCTTCCACGTCCTCGAGGGAACCATCTACGCCGGGTTCATCACCACGGACAACAAGTTGTATGCCGCTACGGTCAACAAGGGCGAGGTGATGGCGTTTCCGAAGGGGCTCATCCACTTCCAGGTGAATGCCGGGAATTCCACGGCTTTGGCGTTTGCGAGCTTGAGCAGCCAGTCGCCCGGATTCCAGCTCGTTGCGAACGCGCTGCTGGGCAGTGGCATCCCAGACGGCGTGCTCTCCAAGACTCTGTTTGTGGGTACCAATGTCGTGGACAAGCTCAAGGCTCCATTTGTTCCAAAGAAGTGAGTTCTTCCATTGAGGAGTGTAATATATATGTATGTTATTCCGCTTTTGATTCACATTGGAGTAGAAGAGATAAAACTTGGAGGTGGAGAACAGGAACTTTCTGTTTTCTTTGTAACGAGCTTGTCCATCCATTGCCATATCTATGTCATGAACTGAAATTATTTGAGATATCAGTATTCTCGTGAAGATTTGGCTCCAAGCGTCAGCTACCTTTTTGCAGTCATTGTAAGGAGTTAAGGCTGTCGAGGACCACCTAGGAAAAAGCTTGGTGTACGTTTTGGCATGTAGACTGGAGCCAATTGAACGAAATAGAGGGGAATGTTCGATTGATAAAGTGAAATACTGACAAGGCACAATTTTTTAAATATTTTTCCCGTTATATGGCAAAATAAAGATATATGCTGGATATTCTAGAATATTCTACGATCTCACAGTTATTATTCATTATATTAATCTTGTATTTATAATTTATATACATGTTTATAATTTAAAAGTTAGTTTCAAATAAAAATTAAACCAGCTGTTACTATAGTCTAAAATATTTTTAATATTGGACAGTTAACTTTATAAGAGTTTGAAATACAATTTAATATATACAAATTCAATCCCAAATGGACGGTCTATATGCTATAGTATTATAATTAATGTATTACTTAGCTATGGTAATATATGTATATACATGTATATTTTTACAAATATTACACCATACTCCCCTTCAGAAGATAAGAAGTTGATGATAATAAGTTAGGTGGAATATCTGCACTACTACAAGAATATGAAGCACAAAACCATCAACAAACTTATTAATAACCATGACTAAAACAAAATTTAAAGCCATGGCACAAATATCAATCAACTACGGAATTTTAATGAATCAATTGTAACTCCATATCCAACTGCCAAATGTTTAAACCAACCACAAAGCTATAACTTTGAACAAAAATAAAGGACTTTAAGAGCCACTATAATTTATAACACACCATTACAACAAATAATATATTCCATTTTTTAATCTACTTGTTGACAATCCTCCAAAACCACTATTAACTCGGACTCACGATTATAAGCAAAACCTACTTTTATATCTTCCTTTTCTATTAATATCTAGGACTTATGTTAATTTAGACTCATAACCATTGTCTTTGTCTGGCACTGCATATGGAAGGTTGGACTCACTCTATTCATCCTTTACATATTTCTTCTTCCTTCCTCAAAAAAAAAAAAAAAAGTTTTGAAATACTAGCTTTATTCAAATTTGTTATACTCATCCTCACTTTGCCATTTATGTTTGGGCTTACTCCACAATCACATTTATTTAGCTTTACTACATTAGAGCCAAATGTTTTGTTTGAACTTGTTATGTCTGACTTCACTCTATAATCTATATCATGTGTCTTTATTCCACTATTGTATTCATTTATCCTCACTTCATCATTACAACTGAACTTTTATTCATCCTCTCTACCCCCTTCTCCAAAGGAAAAAAAGTTTGAAGCATCAAGGTAAAGAAAAGAAAGTAGTTAATAATGCTAAAATGGGGAAATTAAAAGAAAAACATATGCCCAAAGTTTGGAAATTGAGGATTTTCTATAAAATATTTCAGCCATCACAATATTAGTAAAAAAATCACTACTATAACTCAATATTTGAGATGGGAAAATCAATAAAAATGACTACACTCTCAAGAAAACATATAAACTCTTTAATAGCAATAGTAAAGTAAAATCTTTAAACAATACTTATAAGCGGGGATACGTATTCAATTTGAAACTTTGGCCAAAGTGACTTAACTTTTGGAACAAAGGAATACTTAACACTAGAATTGTTCAAAAACTTTGCCAACAAATAAAAGCAAGATTTTTAACTTCATGCATATACTTAATATTTAGATTAGTATGATGAGGATATAAAACACTCAACCTAACACTAGACCAAAAAATGAGAATCATAAGAGTCACAAATGATTAATGTAACAAAAAAAGAAAACACTAAAAACACAAGAAGGTAACTTAGGCCAAGAAATAAGTTGGGAAAAAGAAAAAGGTAAAAAAAAGAATTAAATGGTAAATTGAAAGATTGACACCTATCCCATGAAATCTCTTTGTCTCCAAAGTTATCTTTATAATAATCAAGTTCCTCATCATAATCATTTGATCTTGTACACATTGTCTTCCCATAAACTCAATCCTTAAACATTCTTCAAGAATCAGATTGCATTATCCACAACTTGTTAATAGATGTCACAATCACACTCCACATTAATAGGAGATAACAAAACATTGAGAATAAAACAAGCCATGTAATCATGTCTTATGGATGTTGGAGACAAAACCACATTAAAAATGGCTACAGCATTAATATGATCACAACCTATAGGACCAAAAGTTTAATCTATTGGAGTAGCATCAATAACCTCAAATGCCATACTCCTTGATCAATAACAGTGTGGTATAGTAGAAAAAGAGAATGCAATAAAGATTAAAAGAAAGAGTAAACCTCAATAATTAAAAAATTTTATTTTGCAAAATGATAATACAGATCTAGATTAAAAAAAGAATGAAGAAATAAGAACAAAAAGCATCATCCCAAATACTAGAGTAAAGCATTGCCAAAAAATTTTACCCTTCAAAGATAAATAAGAGTGCCCCTCACTTCCATCAATATGAGTGCTCAGGATATAGCAATAAGTAGATTAATTGGGTTTTAGATCCTAGATTCAATTTCAAATAGACGGTCCACATGTTATAGGGTTATAATTAGCTATAATTATCTAGGATAATATATATATATATATATATATATATATATATATATATATATATATATATATATATATATATATATATATATATATATATATATGTATGTATATGTATATGTATATATATGTATGTATATGTATATATATATATGTATGTATATGTATTTATAAACCTTACTATGGAATAACTCCTATTAGATGCAAGGATTGGCAACAAGAGTAAGAGGAGCTATACCATGTGCCATAAATGTTGCTATCAAATGAGTTTGATTGTTTAACTACAATTACATAGCATGGAATAATTGCATCAATTGCTGCTCTAGAATCAAAGGAGGAAGAGGCTATTACTTTACCATGAAGATGAACGAAAAAGAAAGAGCAAAAGAGAAGACGTTAAGAGAAGTTATAAGAAAATAGTAGGCATTAAATGAAGTATATAATGCTTCAAACATGTTTAGAGATAATAATTTATTATGAGAAATATTAGATTTAAATTAAAATCCCAAATCCTAGCACTCCTCAGGGACAATTAAAGCTGCCCCTCATCTCCACCAATGAGAGTGTATTGAATATGGAAAGAGAATACAAAAATATGTATATCAATTAGCCCAAAAACCCTAGTTTATATACAGGAGCAAGTGGTCCAAATTGAAACTCATTCGATAGCTACCAAAATCCCACTATGCTAATATTAGTATATAGCATCGTAGTAGTACACTTGGATCTCATAATTATATTTAAGTAATTTTATTTAATTATAAAATATTAAAAATAGAAAGGTTAAATAATTGTGTAATATTAATTATATATAATATAAAATGATGTGTACCATTCGTTTAATCACTTTATAGTGATTGCCACATATCATTCTTGGGATGATGCTTAGTGTTTATATGAGTTTCCCACGTGTCCCTAAGGAACGGCACTACAATGGTACAATGGTTTGAGTGTAGCTACTAATGAGGATTGGAGCATTTTCTCAGACATCCTCAAAAGCACATTTGAATATACTGATAATTGTGATGATGCCTTTCAGCCTCTTATTTTTTGTGGAGCCAAATATGTTGGAGCAAATCAAGTTGGGAATGTTGTCGCTAGAATTTCATCAAGATCTTGTAAAACTTGTGTATGCAATTGCTCCAGCCACCCTTGATGATGTTCTTCGCTTGGCATAACATTATAAAATGTCACTTCTTCCAGTTTTCATTCCACTTACTTTAGCTCCACTTCTTGTGCGAGATGGTCTTGTTCTAATGGAGGTTGATAGTGTTGCTACCTAAGTTCAAGGATAAAGGCAAAGACATAGTTGTAACCGTGATATCTACTATTGGGCATGTGATAAAGTTGATCATACTTATCGATGTTGTTAATATTTTCTGGATTGGCACCCCCATTTCGTGGGTGGAGACCTTAGAGTTAATAATGTTTTGTTAGTGTTGCTGCAGTGGGAAGTCTAGACATTGAGATGTTTCCCAAAAATGAAGAGTCACACGAATAGTGGAGGGACCTTGCATAAGTAAGTCAATGACCCCTCCATTTTTTTTTGGGGAGTATTATCAAGGGGTTCACTTGGCACAAATTCATCTAGTATTTACTTTTCAAGTTCATTTTTATAATAAAAGGTCTCATATTATTCTTTCCATATTGGTTGATACAAGCTTGAGTTTATTTTCTATTGTTCGGCCTGTTGCCATACATTGCTATTTATATTTGCATCGTATGGCAAGGCCAGTTTTCATTCTTCATAACAACAACCATACATATGCATTTGTAGGGGATGAGGTGGACTTAGTTGTGTGTATGGGTAATCTCAAGCTTGAGTTGTAGTTATTGCAGGTGGTGCTAAATTAAACTTTTGACCTTATCCTTGGTATATATTCATTGCGGCATAATTATGTTAAATGTGACTTTGACGCTTCTCTTCTTTGTCTCATATTATCTTTTTTTTTTTTTTTTTTCTCACTTCTATTATTTTTCATCCCTCTGCTTCTACCTTTGCTTCCATCACTTTTGTTTCCTTATTACTTCCTTTTATGTTTCCATTTTGTTCATCTCTTTCCTTATCCAATCCCTCCGACAGTCTTTATGTTGTAGCGGTTGACTGCCTCATGAAGGAGTATGCTAATGCCTTTAAATTTAATTTATTGTTTGGGGCTAAAATTGCAACACATTATTGTAAGCCACAAATTTTTCCTTTCCAATTTGCAAGCTTACCTCGTCTATCCGACCAACACTACCTTGGCTTGTGCTAAGTTCCCTCGCCAAGGTTCTCGCCTATTATACCAGCTCCTACTTGGTCCTACTTGGTTTCAGCTACTCACTGCATGAGCAACGGAGAGTTAGCCTTCCATCCACGGATTCCCAAATCCCTCCCAATCCCCCTCCCCGGGTTAGACTGGACTTAAGGTT